CTAGCTTTTTTCTAGAGTTCTGAAGCCCGGGGTAAGGTTTAGAATAAAATCAGAGATTTAGATTTAGATAATGCATGCATATATTTACAGGAAATAAAATCTTAAGATGTAATAATTCTCTGCTCTGTTTAATCATACTTTGAAGTTACATGTACTTATATTAATTGAAAATCAGAAAGAATTCATTTCATTAAATTGAAAAAAAAATATGAATGGGTGCTTACTTTTCAAAACATAATTTTAAATCAAAATATAATAATAAAAAAGAGCATTGGACACAGTAAACAAAAAGAGCAGTTATCTATTGTCCAAACATAAAACTGAAAATATTAGGTGTATATGAAATGATATTTAATGTTGGCTCCGTACAAATATTTCTCAATATGTTCCATTTTTAATGTTGAAGTCTGCAAGTCTGCAAACATAAATAGGATGTATTTTAAAAATATTATTACTGTTCTGCCAATATTTAGAAATAAAACACCCAAATTCAAAGTGTTTTAAAAAGAAAGCCAAGACAGGAAACGAAACATACAGTTATCGAAATTGCAGAGCATACTCAGAAAAAAGCAAATTTGCATCGCTTAATATAATTATAAAATATGTTCTACTCAGTGTCTAGGTATAATAATTAACCCCCGGTGATTTTGTTTATATAAAAAAATGAGCATACTTATTGATCAAAATGTAAAAATAAATTTAATGATAATTTTAACAAATATTTTACCATTGAAACAAACGTCATGTAATATACTCATGATATATGGTGCTCTAAATAAAATCGAGAATATTTTATGGTACACACTTGCCGTCTTTTTAGAATTTAATTTAAGAATGTCACGCAGAGTGAATAGGTTTTTTTTTCTTTTCACAGATTCAATGGGCTTTTTCCTTTTGTCTTCACTATATAATTGAAATTACCGTTCTCTTTCTGTGTTATTTCTTTTAAAAAAATTATTTAGAAAATAATCATGGGTTTTCAAACTTTCCATTTCAATGATTTTGGAAATCCAAAAAAAAGAGGCCCTTTTATTTTTTATTAAAATACGACAATATAAAGAGAAATATCTTTTAATTCAATATTCTTTATGAGATCTTTTAGCAAAATTTACATTTATTTGCCGAATAGTTGTGACTTGATAGAATTCGATCTTAGTCCTCATTCAGAGCAAATATCTTCGGATTTCGTTTGATTCCACTTGCATTGGTATCTTAAAGAATGGGCATTATTGATGGTTTTCTTTGATGTCTACTATCTTGTCTATGTTAGGGGATAAAGATTTTACTTAAAGGTGCTTGTACACAGATTTGAAAATAATATTTTCTCAAATTTTCTGCATAATTTCATGATTTATATGTTGCTATAGCATTTCATAATAAAATATAATAAAAATCTTATTTTATCTCGAAGTTATTGAAACTTCAAATTTCTGGACGCGTTTGATTGACACATCCTTGCACTTTCACAAATTTTAATTTTATTCTTAATACTGAAGAAAAGTGGCAATTTTGTTGTGTATTAATGAAAAATATTAAAACTATAATTCAGAAAATTTAAGGTAGAAATGTTCGAAAGCAAAATCCACTCAAAGTATAGTCAGTCCGTGCTCAGTGGTGTGTGCAGACTTTAACAATTGAACACACCCGGTGAATCGTAAACATTTACAATAACAGAGCTCGTGCCCTGTTTACAAAAACAGTTTACGTTTCACGGGTGTATTCAATTTGTTAAACTCTGTTCACAACACTGAGCACGGGCTGACGATATTAGTGAGGGGGTTTGCTTTCGCACATTTCTACTCTGAATTTTCTGGATTATAAATATAATGTTTTTCATTAATACACAACAAAATCGCTTCTTTTCTTAAATATTAAGGATAAAGATAAAATTTGTGAAAGTGCAAGGATGTGTTAATCAAACGCGTCCAGGAATTCGTAGTTCCAATAATTTCCAGATAAAATAAGTTTTTAATTATATTTTCGTGTAAAATGCTATTGCAATATATAAGTCGTGATATTATACAGAAAATTTGAGAAAATATTAACTTCAGATCTGTGTCTAATCACCTTTAAAGGTATTGGTAAAATCTCAACAAGAGCTTTGCTATATTAGTCAAATCATTATCCAAGCACCCTTAGTTATTAGACATTAATGTTGGTAAAATGGTTGAAAAAGTGAATGTAATGAGCGAGACCCGAGCGATCTCCTTAGGGTCCTACTTGGTTTGTCCAGGTCTTACAAGAAAGATAATGAATGCAAAATATACAAATAAAAGCAAAATATACAAATGTAGATGATATTTGCTTAGTGTATAATGCATTTAATATATGAAGATGTTTTTGTCACTTGCCAAGTAATATAATCTAGCAAAGAGAAAGAAATCTTTAGCTCCTGAATTTACTCAAGGTAAGACGCTGTCCCTCGGCTACGAAAAAAATTTGGCAGCTTGCCACTTCCTTAAACTTGGTAGAACCACCTTCCTCTTGGCTAAACAAACAACTTGGCCACTTGGTTATTATTGTTACCAACTCTTTTCACTTTGGCTACTGGGCTATACAAACCAAATAATTTAGCTACTTGTTAACTATTTACTTTTACCGTATGACTCTTATCAACTGTTTTATGGCCTTATGGCATCTTACAATAACGAATCTTTGATCTGACTGACAGTACTTTGTCCTCTGGCAACAGATTAGCCATTTTGCTGCATAAAAATCTAAAAGACAAACTATTATATTGCTTTTTCTTCTGTAAACTTTGATCATTTTCGAATTTTTCTCGAGAACCACTTAGCAAATTTCAACGAAACGTACCACAAATCATTCTTGGGAGTAGGGAATTCATGTTTGTTGGGTACAACACTCTTTCAAGAGGAGATATTTGAAAGTCTGACTACAAGGTAATAAAAGTTTTACCTTGAAATATAAGTGACCTTTTATTTTATAAAAAATTGTTTTTCTCAAATTTTGTCCTTTACTCGGCACTCAGCAGTGAGGGATTTTTATCGTGCCAACGCCTGCCGTGACACGAAGCCTCGGTTTTTAAGGTCTCATTCCAAGGACCCGCAACTTTCACTTCAAAGTGCCGAGCGCATGGCGAAGGAACAGTTACTACCCATTTTTTATCGACTTAGTTCAGTTGCAGCCGAGATACGAACTCACGACCTCCCGATCACGAAGCGAGCGCTTTATAGACTGAGCTACCGTGAATGGTTGGTTTATTTTGAACAAATCTGAATGATCATATGTGAAACTAAAGAATCATTTGTTGAAAAGATCCTTAAATGTTTGTATGTATTTATCTGTATATGTAAACCTCACACATTTTTTCTTCTTCTCCAGAACCATTTGGACAATTTCAACCCCACTCCCTAAGCCGACACAGGGGTCTTAACCATGGCTTACTTCAAAATAGTTCATCTTGCAGGCATACCATGTATTTCTTTCTAGTCTTTACCCTATCACTTACCCTACATGTAACTTACCCTACATGTAACCCTACGTCAAACCCAAGATTGCCACAAAGCATCCCTGGAGATTCAAGTTTCGGTCATGAATAGGAGGATAAAAAATTTAAAAGCTATCTATAAAATTCATGAAAGTCAAAAACTTTTAATAAGAGGTGGAAATAAGAAATTTATTTCATGTGCATTAACATATTAATTTTCCATAAAGATAATGTAGCCGCAGGTGAGGGTTTTTGCCCATGGGTCTTTTTATTTCTTGCTATTTTATACGAAGTTTTTAACCACAGAGATGATATTAGTAACTTATGTTCGTCATTGTGGCTCATAAGTCTGTTGTTTTGAGTCCCTAACATTGTTTTGATACTTGAAGCAATAGTAAATTATCCGTGCATGTTGTGATTGAAACAAAGGTCAAGTTCCGCCTTCTTTGTATATATTAAATGATCTCTTAATTATCAGTTTTAAAGAAAGAAAGGCTCAAATGTAGTTTTACTTCTTCACTAAGTCAGTCTTTACCAAAACTACTTTGCTTCATTGGCCCGTCAGACATGCAACTCAATAAAAACTACAGAACCCTGGGAACTTAGGAGGCCCCTCTGTTTTCTAAATCTCTTTATGGACTTTTGAGCTTGAATACTGTTCGTTATCTCCATATATTTCATTTACAAACATTTACAGAGAGAAAGGTTCTTTATAAATATTATCAATTATAATTTATCTGATGTTCAACTTTCTATTGTTTATCAATCAAATGAGATGAGAAGTGATATAATCAAGCGACTCCAGTAGTGTGATCAAAAGTATGTCTTCAATTTAAAAGTACTGTTTTATGAAAGGAAATGTGAAGGAGATTACATTGTAGCTCCTTAAAAATGAAAATTACTCAACAAATTTGTTATTGTTTTATTTTGTAGGATTTTTTTTTTCAAATGCAAATGTTAATATATTTTCGTATCTGAAATACCTCTTTTACAATCACTCTTAATTGATTGAGTAATTTGAAATAATCTTACAACATATCTTCATGTATTTGGAATGGAAAGAGGAATAGAGGAAATTTGGATTAAGAAATAAAAAAAATCGCTTAAAGGAAAAAATAAGTCGTACTGCGAAATGTATTATATAAAGGAGATTAACGATCAAAGTAGTGATACAGCTTTGATATTTTTCATTTATTGGAAATTTTGGAGCAAAAGTTGGGAAAGTTCCTGCTTTTGAGCTTTGAAAATTGGCCTTTAAAAATCCTACAGGCCCATCGCACTTATTAAATTTTCAACGTTACTGTCCCCAGCCAATTGTATTGGTCTCGGGTCTCGGACTTGTGGATTTTGGTATGACTGCTAAGTAAAGTAGGAAATTTCATTATTCATAGAAAACACTGAAATCATATTGTTGCACAATCATTTTTTACTGGAAAAAATGGAATCTCTGAGAGATCACTTTCAATGTTCCATAAAAAGAGACATATTTATATGTAATTCATAAATAGTTGTGAATCATTTTATTTAATTTGTTTTTCTTTGTTGCAGGGAGTGAAGAAATTGGAAGATGAAGAATGCGATAATGTTGATTTTATTGAATGTAATAAGTTTGACAATCTCCATCACATCAGAAGCCTCTGTGATAAAAGAACTAGAGAATCCTAATCCTAAAGATGATTTTTCCCTCATGTCAAAGTATGGATCGGACATGATCATTGTAGGTGGGATAAACTATATTCATAGAGTCTTTTCTGGGAATTTAAGTATAGAAATATCAGAAAAAATAGGACCTAAATTGGACAATCCAGACTGTCTGAATCTAGAGAAAGTGACATGTAGCAAGACATTGTATAATAGTTACGCCAAGGCTCTCCTTATAAATAAGAAAAAGGAACCGCAGCAAGATGAAATCATTATCTGCACAACTTTATTTCATGGAAGTTGTGACAAGAGGAATGCATCAACCCTTCAATTGCTTCCAAAATCTTTTCAACGAATAATAAATCCTGTAGTGACTAACAATAAGACAGCCACAACTGTGGCCTTCTTGGCACCAGGACCCAAAGATACCACAGCCTTGTATGTGGGGGCGTCCTGGGCTAACACAGGATTACGAGCCATACGTGGTCTTGTTCCAGCATTTAGCAGCAGAAACACTGAAGACTTTCAATTCACTCACTTTAGCATTGCAACCAGGTCTTACACTATGTTGGATGAAATAAATAAGGACTCCTTCCCTATTCGGTACATTTATGGCTTTGCATCGGGAAATTTTAGTTATGTTGGGACAATTCAAAAACCTAGTGTTGCTGCTGAGAGTTACATTTCTAAACTGATAAGGGTATGTCTTTTTGATGAGCAATTTTACTCCTATGCAGAAGCTGCCTTAGAATGTGTTCATAATGGTTTTAGTTACAATTTGTTGCAAACAGCTTATGTAAGCAAACCTGGAATTCATTTGGCTGCAACTCTACAAATTCCAAAAGACGAAGATGTATTATTTGGAATGTTTGGACATGGAAACCCAAATGACCTCATAAAAAGCTATGGGGAATCTGTTTTGTGTATCTATCCAATGCGTTACGTAAAACAAGTATTCACTCGAAATATACGGACTTGTTTTGAGGGCATTGGCAGGACTGGGCCTAAACATATTGCTACACCCAATAATTGTCAGAAAACGGTATGAATCTTACGTCATTACTCATATTGCTTCACCCAATAATTGTCAACAATAATAACAAATTATTATACAAAATAATTGTCAGAAAACAACGATATGTATCAAGTATCATTACAACATAGAATAATTGTCAGAAAACAAATGTATGTGTCTAGCATCATTACAACACCCAATAATTGTCAGAAAACGGTACCTTTATAGCATTATTACTCATTATACTATTTTAGAATAGAAAATTAAAGGTAGAAATATACAAGCAGTTACAAGAGTAACATTTTAAAGTAGTGTCAACAAGTACCCACTAGCAGTTAACCGGTTTATCGTCAAATGATGCGAGCAGATAAAGTGTTATTTTGTTCAAAAGTGTATATTTACACGTCCCAATTTTATTTTACTGTAATTTAATATTAGACTTGATCTATAGTTTTTCACAAATACAACTTATTGCTTTAAATACAATAAGTTGAAGTTTCTAGTCAAAGTTGTCAATGCTCTTTCTCAGTTTTTGGACCCAGTTTTTCACACTCAAACGAAAAATGGAGAAAAAGAATTTGAAATTTTCTTATCTTTCCTTACCGGTATTTGGTGCTTAGTTTTAATTTACATGCATCAGGCCTGATATCTGCATTATTTCTTATATTCATTTACTTGCTGTAGATTCTAAATAAGTATTACTTGCAAAATGAAATTACTTTCATTTCTATATTGCTGAAATACAAATAAAAACTAAATAAATGTTAATTGTCAAATCGGACGATTTTTAGTAACCGGTTACGGACTTACTTTTCCGTACGAGTAACCAGTTACTTGGATGGTTTTTCTTGAGACCTCAAACATCTTCTTTAATCATGCACTGGGCCAAGGACGGGTTTATGTAAAGTAATTATAATTAACTCAAGCTTTCAAAACGTGTATACCCTTGGCAATCAAAGCTATAAAATAAGCGATAAGATAGACTGTAAAATACTAATGAAAACACATCGATCGTATGTATGAGACGCTAGGTCTAGATCTAAGGTTAAACAACAGTATATGAAATGAGGGCATTTTTATACTATATAAAATTCTATATATCTAAGTAACCGAGTAGCAGTTTTACTAACCGGTACTCGCATCGTTCAACGGTTTTCCGTGTACTTGTTGACAACACTAGTAAAAACTAATTCTCCACTTACAAATTAATATTCTCAAGTTTTCACAATAGCAAGTCATTATGAAATAGTAAGTACTCTACTAAAATGAGGAATCTACAGTATTTCTGACTAAAAGTAACATATTGATTGCTGCAAATATATAATAAAAAATTAGATATTTGTGTACAATTTGCCCCAAGACTTCCAGACACTGAAGACTACTTATCCTCCACCAATATGAGCTTTAAAAAACACAACCGATTTATAGGCTGACAACATAAAGTTGAGTATATTATAGGATTAAACGTTCTTTTTGAAAATTTTAGCGATGTGTAATCTCTTGACATTTTACTCACAAATTAAATAAAAGTGCGAAGCACTTTTATGTTAAGTTTGTGAGTAAAATGTCAAGAGTTAACACATCAATAAAATTTTCAAGAAAAAAAAACGTTTAATTCTTATAATTCCAATTACGAAGTTTTAAAATTATTTCTCTTTGAAACCTCCATACAATCCGTCATTTCTGTATACGTAGGAATACTTTATGTCGCGATGTGGAAATGAAACGTAATCGAGATGAACATCGATAAACTTTAACTTAAATTGTCAAAACATTCAATAAAACAAACTTATAAAAACTATAATAAAAATATTGTTTAAGTCAACGAATATCGTAAATACAAGTAGACGTCAGAAGAATCCGTCCTTGACCATGTTGACATTAACGACAAACGTTCTAAAATGAAAGTAGCTAGTAGCAAACGGACGACACCTTTGGTTTGCTCAGGTTTGTTTAAAGACGGGACAGAATATATAGGAAGTAGAAATATGAATTTGATGCTAATAAGGCAAGAGTCTGAGGTACGTTTCTCTTTCCTATCAGCTACCGAGAACTGAGCTGATTTGCTTAGCGTTAGGAACGATGATGGTATCCTATGAGAAATTCAAATAAAAATTCACACTCGTGATCTAAAAGTGACGTAAACATAACATTCCCGTCTATCAGTCCCGTATGTCGTCAGTTTTGTTTTTATTTAATTTAAAGTTTCTGTAATCGTTTAGCTAAAACAGACTTGAAATAACGATTATTTTTACAGTAAAAGCTAGGCCAAGAAAGTAGTTCTGGTTGAGAAATTTATCGATGTGTAAACTTTTTCTTGAATTTGTTTTCGTCCTATCAAAATACAGGAAATCAATAAATAAAATCAAGATTGGAATTATACGGTATTAAAGTTACTATTGAATATATTCTGCCAGCAAGGATATTGAGAGGTCAAAGAAATACCATCAGGACTTTCCTTCTTTACATGAACACATAATGTTTGGGTTTCACAATTTTATACATAACTTTTGAAATGCATTTCATTTTCGGTTTGGCATGTTGAATTGAATCAATGGGATTTCAAAATAATTAGAACAGCAAAGCCATGACTGGTGTTATTCATATAGATGAAGCTTTCTTAGGTAGTGTATATTCAATTGTTTTTCAAATCGTGACCCCCGGGGTTATGGTGAGGTCACAGTGCGTGGATGATCAAAGCGTGACATTACAATATTAGTTAACTTCTTTTTTTCAAGGACAGCAAAGCCATGATTATTCATATTAATGCATCCTTAGGTATCAGGATTTTTTTCATGAACAGTAAAACCATATTTAGCCATATTTATATGGAATTATCTTCAAGTATCATTGCCACTGGGGTTAGGGTTGGACCACAATGGACTATCAAAGTTTTACATAGGATAGTATGGGGAATTCTGCTTATGAAAAACAGCCAGATATAGTGGACCAGGTGACTTTGTGGTTCTTAGCGCTTTTGGGGATTTTTTGTGTGATTTCCCAGATGTAAGGGTTGGCAGATCCATAATCCAAGATGTTAAAAAATGGAGCCTTATCACCTTGTATGCTCACAATCTTCTCATATCATCTTCACTGATTCCAGCTTCCTTTTTGTGCAGGCTTTAGACATTGGAGATGATTACTGTGGACAATATGATTTTAACAATCCAATCAATGGTCCAGAAGCAGTCAGGGCTGTCAGAACCATCAGTATTAAAGCCACAGCCTCGTCACTTATAGTGACTACTACGAATGCTGGATACACAGTAGCATTTGTTGGTACCAAGACTGGGCATATAAAAAAGGTAACACACTTACATTGTATGTTTTTTTTTTCTACTAAAACAAAATTATACATCATATGGACTTGTCTGAGACTGGGTCATTGTATGCTAGTTGCTAGCCACTGCCAAACACCGATCATGGAATTACCGGTATGTTCTAACACTGCTATATATAATGAAAAGGTCTACAACACATTGTGTCATAAAAAAGAATGAAGGGAAAAAGATACAGTTGAACATCAAATTGAGAAATACCTTTGATATTTAGAAGAAAATTGGCAGCCCAAGTCATATCGCATGAATGAGCAGAACGCTGAAAATCTCTGAGTATTTTGACAGGCCTGCCATGTAAGAGTTATCTGACAGTTTAATTGTTTTGAAGATTGCAATCGAGTCTAGTATTGATGCAAATGAGTACAAAGATATGGTAGTTGATTCAGGATCACAGATTCTTAAGGACATGTTTTTTGATGACGACAAGAGACATCTCTTTGTTTTGACACCAAAGAAGGTAAATAGAGTGAATAGTTATTTTTTCACTGTTGCTCTCATTAAAAAAACACTAAATTCTCAAATATTTAAGTATTCTCACACAGCAAACTATTATAAAACATTACTGGTCCTTATTGCACATTGGGTAGATTACTAAATGAAATATACGGAGATAACGAACAGTATTCAAGCTCAAAAATCTATTAAACAATACAAAATAGGAGAAGAGCAAACACGGACCTCCAAAACATCAGAGGTGGGATCAGGTGCCATGGACAATCATTATTTCAAAAAGGAACAGGATTTTAAAAAATAGATATAAAGTTGTTATCCATTGAAAGCAACATTTTATCGTGGTGGCCTATTGCCCTGTTGCTCAGTATAAAATTCAGTGTAAATCATTTCTATGTATTATGGAAATTCCCCTTACAGCTACTGAAGCTGGTGGTTCAGAACTGCAGTCAGTATACGACATGTGAGGAATGCACGGGAGCTAAGGACCCGAACTGTGGATGGTGCTCGTTAGAGAACAAGTGAGATTTATTTAATTGTTTCGATGTTACACAGGAAATGAAGAAGTAGTCTTTTTTCTTGAAAGTCTTTCCATGTACTGTAAGTGTACTTGAAAAAGCGGGCTTCATATTTTAGCGGCTTTGGCGCAGACAACGATGCGCTTATTCAAGAAAATCTCTAAGAAATCATATATAAATACGATACACGGCACGGACATGTATAGCGCTAATTCATGATTACGCCAACAACATCATACCGAGTGATTTCACTAAAATTTGAATGCCAATTTATGCACACGTCCGTACAGTATTTTTTGGGAACCAAGCATTTACCGTCTAGTTTGTAATTTCCAGCCCTGTCATAAAGGAACCAGAGCTATAAGACTAAATCATATATAAATCCTAATTAATGTAAAGAAGCTTTATCGAGGAAACACTATTATAAAAGGGAAATTGATTGATGTCTAGTAACTGATATTGACAACTAACCATTCATTCAAATGTAGGAAGAGGCTATGAACAACCGTGAACACAGTAAATCTGTTTAGCTCACCAAAGGTGATAAAAGTTTTGTGATGATTGAATTGTGTGTTATGTCTGGTCTTAACTGGGACATCTTAAGGTCTTTAACTATAGATTAGTGAGATTTTCCATTTGTGCTCTGCCATGTCAAGCTTAAAGCCGAAAATGGAATAAATTCCTGTATATCAGAGAGAAAATCTTAGGTCTCATAAATGACCGGAGGTGGGATCAGGTGCCATGAAGGACTAAGCATTCCCTGCGGACCTGTCGCACCCGCAGTGTCGCCTTTTGATAAGATATTCAGAGTACTCCGCAGTCCAAAAGCAATGACCATACAAGTGTTGAAAATATCAGACAAAAAAAGACCCAACGATAGGTTATATTTCCAGAAAGGTCTAGAATTTGTGGAATTTTCAACCAGTTTCATTGGTCTTTGTTTAAAGTGTGCATTTGTATATAGGATATATATTCCCTAAAAGAATAATAGTTTTGTCTACAAAGTATGGCAAAAACAAGGAGCCACTGTCTGGTCACTATCTGTTTGTCTTTCCATCCTTCTGTCAGCCTAGAAGAATTCTCAGATTAGTCCCATAAATAAAAAAGTCTCACATGAGAACATGTAGGATATTCATGAATTTTAAAAGGAACATAGAATCCTTACCTAATAATGATATTCAAAGATCGGAATGGGATAGGGTTGGTCCTAGCTCTTCTACTTTTATCTACATACAAAAAGTAACCATTTACACATAGCTGGTAATTATACATATACTTGATAATCACGTGACTACCAAAGCCTCTTGTCTCGAAGTTATACGGTGGCTCTTTTTTTTTTCTTTTTTTCTTTTAGAGAGATGTCTCTGTTAAGAGATATTTCCTAATTTATTTAAGATTTAAATTGAAATTAAAAGATATCTCTTTAAATTATATAGATCTTTTTGTTTACTGAAATTAATTCAACGTTTAATGTCACCTATAAACTACAGATCCTATAAGGGAAGAAGAAAGAAATTAAACAGACATTTCAAGCAAATGAGTATAAACTCATCAACATGAATTGAAATACTATCAATATTTTTGCATCATGTAGGTTTATTGTTTAATAATCATTTTCAGAAAATCTGTCAGTTAATTGATAAACTCAGGTTAAATATTCCTCAAAGAGGAGCTAAATGTTCAACTTGTCTATATTTATGGAAGTTTTAGGATGCTAAATATGAAATCAAACCAGTAAAGAAACTGTAAAAAGTACCGATTTGTTTGTGATTTTTCAATGTGCAAATATCCCGCGTGGGTGTTATTAAACATAAAATTAACTTTTTACAGCCTAAAAGATTGTTAAACGGTTAAGTAATTAAATCTTTTTCTCAGAAATAAAATTTTGTGAATGTGCTGTAGGTAAAATGTAGTCCTTAACAACTAACTTGATTTTATTTGTTATCTTTCAGATGTACGTTATCAAAGGAATGTTCTGAATACACTTCTCCCTTACGATGGATGGGCTACAACGGGGTGACTTGTACAAAAATTACAAAAGTTTATCCTGACAAAATTCAGAAAGACAACAAATTGATAAAACCTACCACTGTAAGTTTTTTGCAGAGTGATGTAAAATGATAAACATTACCAGAGAGTACCTCCTGGGTTTTTTTAATGCATTAATACATATAGAAAAATTTTAATACACTGTGACATTACAATGAGTATATATTTTTTTTTTCCTTTGAAAGATCTTCCTTCATTTTTTCTTTTAGCTTACGTTACACATTGCCAATCTTCCAACCTATAATGGATCATACAAGTGCGCGTTTGAAGGCTATAAAAAAAAGATAGAGACTGTCGCAACCAGAAATAGTTCTTACGTTGTGAAATGCGACACTCCCATGGCTAATGAATTGCCGCCATTTCTAACGGGAACAGGTATAAAGTCTGACTAGTTATAATAATCAGAGTACATTGGAAACATATGTCAATACTGTGCTGGCTTCATGTAGTTACTGAAAAGCTTTTGAATTATGATATATAATAAACCAATCATCAATCTGCTTTTTATGTTAAACATATTATGAATCACACAAGGAGGTCTAAAAATGAGAGTATATGCAGGGATTACAAAACTTTTTCTTTGATAAAAAATATTTGATCATACACATTTGTCAGTTTGACATTTAAAAAAAAAATTTTTTTTTTATTTTGATGGTGTTTTATCTGTTGTGCCAATGACATTATCTTGAAAGAGTAGTATTTACATTTTTATTCTGTTGGAACTAGTATGTCCAACCACAGAAGCTGTCAGAAGAGCGCTCTCTGGAGCATTAGGAAAACTCATATGCATGCAAGATAACTTTGTTACAAAATGACTTGGTTCATAGAACTGATCACAATCAGCTATGTTCGTCCTGATTAATGATAATTTAATGGAGAATGACTCAGATTGAATATTGTTTCAGATAATTAACTTCGTCACAATTAAGTTAAATATTGTAAATCATATCCTGTTTTCACAGCAAAATAGAATATATATAGAATTCATTAACACAGAAAAGAAACCATGTGATTGTTGGAAGACATTAATAACTTTGAAGTTAAGCAGGATTGTAATCGGATTTAATCATTGTGTTTTTGTTTTCTAGATCACATTACCATGAGGCTGTCAGTCATCATCATGGGACGAAAATTTGTGTCCGCCAACTTCACATTTTTTGATTGTAAAGTACACACCAAACACTCGTAAGTTTTTGCAACATGAATCTGTTAATTCAACAGCTTCTTTCCTAGAGTGAATCGTTATTAAACAGAGCCTTTAGCTCACCTTAATAAAAGGCTAAAGTGAACTTTCTCAATTAAAGAGTATCCATCTGACTGTCTAAATTTTAATTATTCATATGTAGAAAAAATATTTCTTTATAGCAGCAGGGGCACAGTTATAATGATATAAGTATCTTCATACATTTACATGTACATGTATACATTTCATGATAAGTTGATAACCCCATATGACTTAAATGGATCCCTATTCTTTATTCCAAGTCTTTTTGGTCACAAAATTAGAATGGAGAGATGTTATATGTTTAAAGATTTTGCTTATTAATTCTCAGTAACATTATCTCACATATTTTACATTTTCATGTTTTCACAAATTTGACAGGTAAGCAATAGGTTATATAAAGACTTAGATTGTGGCCTTTTGGTAGGTTCTAAGTTTGAGTGACTCTAAGAGAAATCAGATTGTAATTCTGCCTTTGTTTGGGAGGGGATCTTGAAGTTGTTTTATTCTTTTGCCTCATTTGTGGACATGCATTTTATACAGTGTATGAGATTCAATTCGACTTTTTGAAAGGACTGACAAACTCTAAAGGAGTTTGTATATCACCTATGTCACCCAGTCACATGTGTCACTCAATCAACTGAGTCACTTACTTGCCTGCATCACTCACCTGTGTCACTCAGGCCCCTGTGTTACTCAGTCAACTGAGTCACCTGAGTCACTCAGTCACTTGTTTCTCTCAGTCAAATGTGTCACTGAATCACCAGAATCACTGAGTCACTCAGTCACCTGTGTCACTCACTCACCTGAGTCACTCCATCACTTGTGTCCCTCAGTCACATGTGTCACTGAATCAACCTCAGTCACTGAGTCACCTAAGTCACTCAGTCACCTGAGTCACTCAATGACCTGTGATACTCATTCACCAGTGTCACTCCGTCACCTGAGTCACTCAGTCACTTGTGTCCCTCAGTCACCTGTGTCACTGAGTCACCTGAGTCACTTGAGTCACTGAATCACCTGCTCTATGTCACCTATGTCACTCAGTCACTTGTATCACTCAGTCACCTGTGTCATTCAGACACCTGTCACTCAGACACCTTAGTCATTCACTCACCTGTGTCACTGAGTCACCTGAGTCACTCAGTCACCTGTGTCACTCAGTCACCTGTATTACTCAGTCACCTGAGTCACTCTGTCACCTGAGTCACTCAGTCACTTGTGTCCCTCAGTCACCTGTGTCACTGAGTCACCTGAGTCACTTGAGTCACTGAGTCACCTATGTCACTCAGTCACCTATGTCACTCAGTCACCTGTGTCACTCAGTCACTTGTATAACTCAGTCACCTGAGTTGCTCAGTCACCTGTGTCACTCAGTCACCTGTGTCATTCAGATACCTGTGACTCAGACACCTTAGTCATTCAGTCACCTCTGTCACCCAGTCATTCAGTGTTTAATACTGAAAAATGAATATTTGAGTATAGTTTCTTATCCGGAGCATGCTACAAGCAAACTATGCATTTTGATAATACACAAGAAGTTGCAATTTTTTTTTCAAATATTGCCACATTCATATGGGTCTGGAGCCTCTTTCTTGTCGTTATTTGTTGACAATAATTAAGCTTACCGATGCCCAACCTATATGGTCTGTGCATACGTTTTTACGCAACGTTGTTTCAGACGCTTCACAGTAATCTTGATTGTCGTCACAATTGGATACAATAACGTCACGGTCAAAATTACGTCAATTTGCCCTAAAATATTTCGCTATTCTTGCATACCTGGTAGGTTTTGACTATGCATCCTGAATGTTCTCTAATTCTCGCATTCCTATCAATTCTTGTGATTTAATAATTAAATGTTTTAATTAATAGTCAACTAGTAACTTAATTTAATTTTTTTTTCTTTTTTTTTTTTTTTTTTTTTTTAGATATTTTCAATTTCTAAGTAAATTAATAGTTTCATATTATTTTGTTTTAATTTTTGAGTTTGAAAAACCAAAAATAAACAGATATGGTCTTTCTCTTTGAAAATGTTTATTAAACTGTTTTGTTGATAACTTGAATATGCAGGCAGTAGATTGACTTTAAAAAAAAAATCTACGAAACATTTAAATGCAACCGAGAAGAAATTTTTCAGTTTCCTACATATTAATAAACTTTGTAATTTTATTGCCTTTTTAATCCCCCTTTCTTTTTCTACGTAAAGCATGGCTTTTATATCAAATAAGATAAAGAATGGAGAGAAATTCTTTCATAATATGAGAGGCATTTAATTTTTAATATACAATACAACAATCATTTGCTGATATTCTGTAAACCTACTGCGACTTTAAGTATTCAAGTATACATCTAAAAATAAATTGGACTTCCGTGCATACAAGATTATCAATGATATATAGGCACTACGGTAACTTTTAATTATTACAGATGCTATAGATGCACTTCAAGCAGTTTCAACTGTACTTGGTGCATTAAAAACCACCTGTGTACTCACCATCCTGTCATAGACTGTAGCTCTAATGATGACTTCATATCAGGACAAAATGTAAGTGACTCCATTTACATAACTTCATGTAATAATGACATATTTATATTGATTTACCCCATAACTGTAGTTGTATTATTATACCCCTGCTAACAAGTTTTTTTTTTTTTTTTTTTTTTTTTTTTTTTTTTTTTTTTTTTTTTTTTTTGCGGGGATGAATATATTGGAGTAACCTTGTCTGCCTGTCTGTCTGTCCATTCATCTTGCTCTTTGTGCAATGGTGTCTGGGCTATGTCTTCGTAATGGAGAATCTTTGGAAGCTCATACTTGGTACAAAGATTATTTATGACCTGAGGATGTGTTAACCCCAAAGCAAGGTCTTTCCTAAAAGTTCGAGATGACTGACAAATAAAGTGTTAAATTTATGTCCAGTGCGTAATTTTCTAGTGGAATAACATTGGATGCTCATACTTCACACAAATGTTATTAATTCTGGTTGTAACGCTGTATTTGATTGGATGAAAAATTTACTTAAGTTTATATCGTATAAAATGGGTTGCCTAAGTCACAATGAGTTGCGTCAAAAACGTATCGATCCGCCTGATGTTAAATTCGAATTTTGTACAAATTGTAGTCATTTTTTTTTTCTTACACTAAATGAATGAAAATTAATTTATAAGGAATGAATCTAATAGATACCCAATTTATACGGTATAAACTGGGTTGGAACAGTTTACGCTTTTTTATAAACCGCTTCGCGGTTTAAAAAAAATGCGTATAAAATGGATAGCTATTAAATTCATTCCTTAAATAAATAATGTTCTGAAGATGTGGTATGACCTTGATTCAAGGTTAATCTTGCAAGTTCAAGGCCACTGGCAAAAAAGTATAAAATTTGTGTCCAGTTCATTATTCTCAAATGCATACGTATTGGAAGTTGAAAATAAAAGATAAAAAAGCTGAATAAAAGATATTTGTGACTGAATATATATTACAACCTTTATCCTAGGTCATTGTGGCAAGTTCAAGGTCACTGGCAGAAAAAAGTTTAACTTCTGTCCCGTCTTTTCTTTTCTAATGGAAAAAATTGGAAGTTCATGCTTCACACAGATATGATATCCATATTTCATTCATTTTGACAAGTTAAAGGTCTCTATTAGAAAATTGTATAGACACCTTTTAAAAAATGCAGCAGGGTATATAATTTTGTGAGCTTGTCGAAGTACTTCTAGTTTAACCTCTAAAAACATAATATAGAAATAATGATGAAATCAGTAATTGAAAGTGAGTCCTGTTGTACCTTGTTCTTAGTAGAAAAAAACTCTCGTTGTTTCTACTTTTCTCTGCTGAAAGTAAACAAACCTACAAGACGAAACCAGCAAATTCGGAATACTCAATGGGTGGGGCTTTCTTTTCACTCAGATCTTTTTCATGGTCGAACAAAGCAGTCCCGGGGACTGCGGGGTTTGCTTTCTAGAGCAGTCCCGTTGCGGCCCCTGAGCAATCCCAGAGCAGTCCCACAGTGTTCGAGAGCAGTCCCGGAGACTGGTTTGGTTTCAGGTTGAGTCTGGTTTGTACTGTGCGTATTGCAGATTTCTTTCTTTCTTTATTTTTATTTTTTTTTCTTTTTTTTTTCTTGGTTGTTGTTGTGGTTCGGATTCGATATTCTGTAAAATGTTATAAAAAGAATCAATTGCTCTTTATCTAGTAAAATATGACGGTAGAAACGTAGTATTAATTAGAAACGAAAAGTGTATACTGTATATTCAAAATATGGTCAACTCATTTTGAAAATATTGTTTATACTGTTTATGAAATAAAATGTTCCAGATGCAAAACAATAGAGAGCTTTTAAATTACTTTAATTAAATGGTAATGTAGAGTCCATGTCATTAATGACAGTATCCTCCATTGCTCATAATGATTTTGAAATAGTATAAGTGGCAGGTTGTTGCAAAATTAGTTGATATGTGAATTTCAATTTTTTTGCAGAATGCTGGAATATCTATACCTCATGAAAGTGGACCAAACTTTTGTCCAAGTATAGACCCCAGCAATCAGCAGAACATACTTGTGCCATCAGGAATAGAGAAGACGATTACAATTAACCTAATCAAGTTAAGGGTAACCATTATCAGATGTATTATACTCCACATACCGGTACCCATTACAGGAAGCTAAATATTTAAATCGTATGCATAGCATGACTACAAATTATTTGATAGATAATTCATGACAGAAGTCACTTTTCAGCCCACAAAAGTTAGATGTATTTTAGTTGACCTAAAAGATCCTATTCTCAACAAAGTTGTCTACCTTTGGAATCAACACAGACAATATACTTGATATATGGAGAGACAATGCAAGAAGTGGTCAAATCTCTTTTAGTTTATAAAGGGGGAATTTGAAATCAGACAATCAGTCAAAACATAATTGTCAGGGTTTTGCAACATACTGTATGTATACTTGAAAAAGTAGGCTTCATATTTTAGCGGCTTTGGCGCGGACAACGATGCGCTTATTCATAAATACCGCTAAGAAATCATTTGTAAATACAATTTTCATGACTTTAAACTTTTGTTACAAAACGGAGTAAAGACTTCTTAAGCTCATCTTGACAAAGTCGAGATGAGCTTATGCTGAACCCCCCCCCCCCCCCCCCTTCCGAGTTGGCATAGACATCCTAAGTAAAACTTTTAGGAAGTCCATTCCCATGTTCGTATAATTAATGCGTGGATGATGCATCTTAGAATGGACATTACAAGACCTGCTTCAGATGTTGTGTCTGACCTACATTTTCTACATATGTTATACCAGATTAATTTTTTGGAGCAGGTCCATGACCATGTAGCTAAAGGCCCTACCTGAACCAAACATGTCAGTTAGAAGATTCATTATTGGATGAAAGCTGCAAGACTTGAAGATGGAAAAATATTATTTTCATGTTATAACAAATACAGAAAATTTGAAGCCGATTCATGATCATCGTCTCAGGCCACGGTTCGGAGTCCGCATATAGCTCTCTCCTACCCGTGGCTGCTTGACACATAAATTGTCGTAATCTTAAATATTTACACCTCTATCCTGTGAAGTCATGTTAAGCTCATGGCAATATTCATTTCCATCGCAACTGAGATCAACAATTGACATCGTCAGCAAACATAAAATACTTCGTAAACTGCGATTGGATATTGAAAGGTCGCCTCAAAATTCATTATCCGACTACCGGTATGTTCTACTCGCTACGTCAATATTTTAATGAGCTACGAAATATTCTCTTCTCATTCAACCACGGCCAGAATGGGAGAGTATCGTACATTTTGGCCGTGGTTTTCGACAATGAATCATTATTTAAAGATTGATTTTTCATCTGAGAGAATAATCCATAAATTCATTATATCAAAGTTTGTTATAACCATTAAATTTTATAAGGAATTGTTAAGAACTTTGGAAAGGAACCCTAAAAAACTTCGCTATATCCATACATAGCCATATCCACTGATAAAAAAGGACACTTTGTCAGCTTATAACTGACACAAGTTTTAATGATATCTTTAACCTGGCCCAAGATTATTCAAAGTTACTGTAAGATTACTGGAGGAAAAAGAAAGTCTGGCAAGCTTTTCATTTTATCAGTTTGCTTACAGTAACTTAAAGTAAATTTCTATGCTCATCTGTGGAAAAAAAGTTTTCTGTACCAAAGTATGAACTGATTGAGTAGAATAGATAGACTTGAAAGACATGACTTCTGAAAAAATTGTTTTGTTTTTAAAGTCTTATCAGAGGCCCATCAAGTGTGCTTTTGCATTCCATTCCCAGACAGAGACCCAAGGAGAGATTGCTGAAGTGTTTGTCATGCCAGTGGTTGTGATGATCAGATGTAGAAAGACCAGGGTAAGTACATAGTTACTGTGTATTTCGTATGATCACACAGCTTTACTTTTTAAATTATTGTCTTGAGATACATGTAACACGTCATTAATTTGTGTTTTAACAGTTTTTTTTATCCAGGAGATTCGGAGAGTTACAATGTGCCATTGAAGATTTTGTGGGGTGACAAGTATCCCAAACCTCTGGACAATCCCCATAATGTACAAGGTAAATACTGGAGAGCTTCAATGTCTATTTCTGTGACTGTCTGGTCTCTTATAGGCCTGAAGACAGTAGGCTAACGTTATACTGGTGAATTTTGTGGCCACGAGCCTCCTTTTAAGGGGATGAAGGACACATGGTCACATGACTCTGTTTAACTACGTCATAGTCTCCGTTTATATTAGTGCAAAACGTGTAAAGCATGAGTTCTTGTATAATTTTTTAACATTTTTTTGAACTTTGATAACCATCTTATATTAAAAAAATAAAAAGTTTTAAAATTCTTGTAAACATTAACAAATTATGAAAAAGATTGATCCACTCCTCTGTTTCCCTAAACTGCGCGTCCAACAAGTCGGTGACGTCATACACGATCTGTTAGTACAGCCAGATCATACTCAGTGAATACAGGGGCGGTATTACTTTGTGAAAACAGGTCTTAATCATTATATGATAAAATATTCTGAGACACGGGGAATACAAAAATTATTTTTCCATGGCTGATGACGGAAATCTTATGTAGGTATATCTTATTTCGCTTATTTAGCTACATGTGACGTCATAGTTCGTTTTTCCCGCACTCGAGAAATGTAAACATGACACGTTTTTGTCATGCTTATGTCCTCTTTAACGATGTCCTGTGCAATATTGAGGTCAGCTTCACCATTCGAAATTTTTACAGTTAATCAGTAATTTGAAGGACTTACATTTCAACGTAAATTTAAAAATATTGAATGATAGAATTTTTGGTAAATTACGTTTTTTGTTGTTAAAGTTGTCTTAAAAAGTAAGTAATTTTCGCTATCTAGATGCAATGTGATAGAAGAAACTTGCTTTTTCGAATTTTAAACCCTATTCATACTATGAAATATTTTAAAAGATACATGTCCACTTACATATTTTTTATCTTTGCTTAAAAAATCCCATTATGGACAGAGTAATGGGCCCGTAAACTAAAACTCTATTTAGATACTGTGGGGCATAGTATTTGTCAATCAATATCTCTAAAATAAGGTTAGAAACCTAATGATATAACTGCTTTAAGATATGTGGGACATACTTAATAAGAAATATACACAATATGAAAAAAATTGAATGACAGGTATTTTTTCACCTCAAGGTCCTTCTTCCCCTTAATGTAACAATTTAATTCAAACCAGGATAAGATCGCAATAAAAGTAAATCCTTTTTTTAAATAAATAGAAGAAAAAAGGACTGTAAAAGAAGGACTTTAAAGATTCCTATGCATAAAACCCTTGTGGTAGAAATTGATTCAAAGCTATGATTTGTTTAAAATGTTGGCATTATTTTGATATTACAATGTCTGTTTTGAATTGCAGTTATCATGTACATATGCGAGAATTTGGCTGATACATGTGGAGAATGTCTAACCCAGAAGGAAGAATACACCTGTGGATGGTGCAAAAAGACGAACCAGTGCAGCTTACAGTCTTCATGTGTGTCTCCAAATAGTAGTTGGTTAACAAGCACCTCCAACTGTCCAAACCCAATTATAACAAGGGTATGTCACACAGTGCTAAACTAATCTCAATCAGGATGATTATTTGATTACAGAAATATTTTAATTTGCAAATTGTCGTTAGATTTAGTGACCACCTGTATTCATTTATTTACACTAATCTGTCTCCGTAACTATCTCCAATTTCATCTCTACTTTCCCAAAAAAATACATTATTTTTTAAGCATTACAGTGGTATCACCTTTTAACCACAACTCCTTTCAATTTTCTCTTGGTCTCATGTTTGACAAAGGATTTCAGGTCAGCTTAGTTGCTTATGAACAGCTGAACCAACTTGAATCATTATTTGATATTAAAAGGGGAACAACAATTTGGAATGAGATGTGGCAAAACTTTCAAAATAAATGTAATTTTCAGAAGCCTCCTTTTTAACTCATAAACAGGATAATATTAGCCAGTTAACCTTTCTACTAATTCACTGTGAAATTCAAGGTTCTGTGTTTTAGGGGATATTTGTAACATTTCACATTTATAAAGGAGTAGAACCTCAATGTGAAACATACCAAACATATACACAAAACACGGTCAAATTAATTCAATACATTCTCCCAAAAGCTATTGAATAATGGCAATTAAAAAGGTTTCAAATTGGTCTTAATGATTTATTAAACATCTATAAATAATACTATTCTGTAAAATTATAAAATACAATAACGTTGTTTATGTTTTTCTGTGTTGGATTTAACTAGCGACAAAAATGAATGCAATGGTAAGTTTTCATGACGTTCATTACTCTTATGAAGTTTAAAATCGCATGTTATTTTATTTTCTGATATATTGAGGAATTGATATTTTTGTTTGATGTCACAGAAAACATTTCCCGTATAAATTAGGACCCTTCCCCTTTATGTAGCCTTAACACTCCTTGGAATACAAATTAAGTGAAAAAGACTGTATAAATTAAGATGTAGTAGAATATTACATGTTGTGCTCTGAATCATGTCAAAATTGAAAGGAGCTGTACAACTTTTTATCAGATTTATCCACTTACTGGCCCTAAAGAAGGTGGAACTCTATTGACTATAGAAGGTAGAGATTTGGGAAAATCCTACGACGACATCGTCACCAATGTAGACATAGCAGGAGTTCAGTGCACTACTATCCCTGAAGAATATGTGGTTTCCAAAAAGTAAGTCTTGTCTAATCTCCCCCTAAAACAAAGACTTCAGTAAAGCACAGTTTTATATATGTAATGATGTCTTTGTTTTAACAGAATTGTGTGTACAACTGGTCGTTTTATTGGGAAGGAGGAGAGATCAGACAAAGTGAGAGTGACTATAGCATTAAAACTAACGGCTGTGTCTACACAACAATTTACCTACGTGGTAAGTACTCTCAGGATATCTATACACTGCGTTATCACTTAAAAGTAGATCAAAAGAAGGTAACATTGAAATTAACAGTTTCAATTTTAACATTGAATGATTGTATTTTGCATCTTGAAGTGCTGCAAATGAGTAAAAATGAATCTAAAACATTAAGAACATTATTTAGTACTGTAAAAACTACATTTATAGATAAGTAACTATAGGTAAAATACGTAAATACATGTATGTCATCTAGCAATAAGATAATTTGATTATGCGCTTGCAATAAATACAACTGAAGTCAAGCAGTGCTATATTTCTGAGTAAATTTAAAACTGAATGATTTTTTTTTTGGCTTTTTTGCGGCTCCACAACATGTAGTGAAGAATATCAATATTTGATGCAATGATCAAGAATTCACCTGTTTTACCTGTCAAGAATTTACCAGTTTTGATCTTGATGACACTGAGATTAAAAAAAACAACATGAGAATAAAAATTAAAAGACTTTGACTCTTCGGTCCCATGTTGTCTACCGAAATGCATGGTTCCCAAAGGAAGAAACCTATTCATTCTCGGACCAAAATCTCAAAGGTCAAGGACACTAATAAGTGTTAATAGTGTGAACACCACATCAATTCATTGTTCATTATGTAAACACCACATCAAAATCATTGTTCATTATGTGAACACCACATCAATTCATTGCTCATTATGTTAACACCACGTCAATTCATTGTTCAAAATGTGAACACTACACCAATTCATTGTTAATAATGTGAACACCACATCAGTGCATTTGTTAAGAAACTTTTCTTTGAATGTTATAATGTTGCAAGGAGAGGCTGCATCTGTGTCGTTATAATTGTTATAGATGTCTGATTAGCTTAGATATGTGACATGTCCTTGTTTGCAGTGAGATGTATGGAACCCTGATCCTTTTTTTTCAGCAAATTGACACTGCTTTTCTGTGAATACAAATCTGCTTTTCCATAAAAGAACATCGACTTTTTCACTTTTTTTCCTTTTTTTTTTTTTTAAACTTTTTCCCTGCTTACCAAGTAGGATAAAAACTCATTGAATTCCTTAAAATGTAAAACATTAATAGAAGATTAAGCACAAGGTAAAGACATGTAAATACCATTTCAAATCATTAAAGAAGAATCAGGAACTAACCCTTTGTGAATTTATTTGAGGGAAGTAATGTTCAAATTTTGAAAAAAAAATCATGGAAAAGTATGATGAATTATAGTAGGGAAGGAAGGGAGACATCCTATTTTAACAAAAGAAATAATATGTGGGGGTTTTTTTTTCAGGACCCAGAAATTACAGATATCACACCTACCCAAGGTCCCAAGTCAGGTGGAACACAGGTCACTATACTTGGAAAAAATTTAGATTGTGGGACTGAAAGAAAGGCATACTTTGGTCGCACTGAATATGAATGCACACTTGATAATGAAAGGTACACACCTAACCAAAAGGATTTATGTTTTTGGAGCTATTCAGTAAAACGTAATGAAAGATGTCACTGTGTGTTACTTAATATATAAATAGATCAAGATATTATATTTTTGTGACCTAATTATAGCATTACAAGATCAAAGGTAACCTGTGAAACAGCTCGAGCTAACAAGACACTGGTTACTGAGGAGTTATACATGATGTTTGATAATCAGCTGGTTACCAGTGATCTTGTCTACAAATATGTGGAGGATCCTAATGTTATCGAGGTGGACAGGAAAGTCTCCATCGTCAGGTAAGAAGACTTCTCACCAAATGGGCTGATTGTTTTACTGACAATTACTGACACTGACTTTGTATATGTATAAATATGAATTGTTCCCCTGTGTATCCTATGAAACAAGGTCATTTAAGGACCAGAGACACTTAGTCTGGTGATTGTACTCTGTTGTAATGGATATAAATATGTGGGAAATCATCATGAGGACTTTAAGTTCATATGTGAAAAGAAATGATCTTTTAATACAGGAGGTTGTTAGGGCATCTATGCATGACTGCAAATAAAGGGTAATATGTAATTTCATTCTTTTACTGTGTATCAATTAAATGTTATTTATATTAAATGTAATATTGATGTTGAATTATCTAGTGGAGGACTAAAAGTCTTGGTCAAAGGCAGTGGTTTCCTTCCAATCAAGAATTCTTCTCCTAAAATGGTTTTCTACCAACTTAAGGATCCCTACCACGGAGTAAGTCAGTGTACTGTACTCCTCTAAGTTAAATTTATATGTCAACATAGGAATTACGTAGATTACAATTTTAACAATTTTATGAGTTTAACTTTAATAAACTTTAATCACGTTTCCTTTAAGAGCAGTGTTTGAATTATCGTTACGATGTAAAATTTAAAGTAACCTTTTATTTCAACAAACAACACCCAGTGAGAATCTTTGAATTATGCAATTTAAGAATGAGGCTGTAAATTAAGATAGCAAAATTGCCAATGAAGTGGCCTTGAAAGAAACTTTATTATAATCATAAAGTAACATTAGGACAGCTGTCTCCTTTTCTAAATAATTCTTAAAACACTGTTTGTAGGAATGTGAAGTCCTTGATGATGTCACAATGGAATGCAGTACTCCACAAGTGATGCCACGTTCACAAGACCAGCAGGGCTTGGCTTTTGGATTCATCATTGACAATGTCCAGAATATACGCAATCTCAGCGCCACACATGATGAATTCTTCCAAATTTGCCCTGATCCCGATATCAGTGTTTTTCCGAATGACAAAATTAAGTCATTCTATTGGAGGAGCAATGAATTCTTAACAATAAGTGTAAGTTTTTTTTAAGAGGTTTATCCATTTAAGTGAAAAACATAAGTATTTGGGATGAACTTGTGAACTGTAGTTGCTAAACTCTTAAAGTCTGGTATTAATACCCTTTCACATGTACTGAGATAAAAGATTTTGTTCATCTGTGTGTCTATAATTAATATGTGGAGTTCGATAAGATAATGAATTCACTACATAGACATGGTATAACGGTGTAAGTCATTTCCACAAAAATCTATTTATAATCACATGATTACTTTGACAAAGAACTAATCTTCACATCACAACTTGACCACGTTCGGGGCTATTTTGCTAACAAATGCATTTTTTCCTTCATTTTTATTGCATGATATTGAATTTACTATGTCCCTAACCCAGATAAAAAAAATAAACATGAAGCTTTGTTGTTCCCCTTGAAAATTCTAGTAACTAGGAATCAATATAAGAAAAGGAAAGCCTAAATGAAATGATCAGTATGTGTAGGGAGATGGCTAATACAGGTCTAGGACACATTTTTGTACCTGATAATAATTGTAATTTTTTTTTAATCAAAGTTGCAATTATCTGCAATTACGTTATATTATCTTGATATTTAATAAATATGTTACAGGGAATCAACCTTGACTGCCTTCGATTTAAAAAGGATGACGTCGTGATAAAAATAGGTAGAAGTGAATGTAACATAACATCCACTGGTAGACAATTAACCTGTCGACCACCAAAGGTGCCTCCCACCCCCATGAAGAGTGGCCAGTATCCAGAGGTGGAGGTAAGCGATCAATATAAAGAAGAGTGGGCTGGGGTGGTCGCAGAACCTTGTTACTCATCTAATAGAAGGAACAAAATAAAGAAAGGAAAGTCTAACTGAAATGATGAGTATGTGTAGGGGGATGGCTAATACACAACAGTTAAAACAGGTCTAGAACACACCTTTGTACTTGATAATAATAGTTATTTATTTTTTTAATCAAAGTTGCAATTACCTGCAATTACGTTATATTATGGTAGACATAAAGCTTGATAACTAGGGTACAACTCTATGAATGCTCCTCAATGGTCTAAAGCAAATATTCCAATCCTGGCCCCAATATTAATCATACTTTACTCATAGAAAGGAACCGTTCGAAACTCGGCCGCGACTGACCTAAGTCGATAAAAAAAAATGGGTAGCAACTGTTCCTTCGCCATGCGCTCGGCACTTTGAAGTGAAAGTTGCGGGTCCTTCGGATGAGACCTTAAAAACCGAAGCCCCGTGTCATGGTAGGCGTTGGCACGATAAAAATCCTTCACTGCTCAATGGCCCTGAGTGCCGAGTAAAGGTCAAAACTTGAAGCCCTTCACTGGTATATGGTGACGTCTCTATATGAGTGAAAAATTCTCGAATGGGACGTAAAAACATACAATCAATCAACCAATCATAGAAAGGAAATACATGGATAGAAGAGAACATATTATTTTGAGTCCTTCCTTTGTGTACTATTTCTCTCTGACCCAATGTCATTCATATTTTACTTGTAAATATTCCATTGAAAAGATATTTAGTAAACCCTTTACAAATTTTATTTATAGGCCAGAAATAATTATTATTTAAGTTTCCTGGCCATGCAGACATTTTTTCTCCGTTACCCCAGTGTCTCTCATACTTCTCATGTAAGGTATCTATAAATGGATTTCATGTTTGCAGTAAAAAAGTTGGAAGTCTTGGGCAAGTTTAACTAAACTTTATCCAATGACTGATCGTAGAAATATAGTACTGTATAGTACGTACTGTAAAGACCTTGAACTTAGTTACAATCTCAAAAATAAAAAAAATCAAAATTTGTAGGCTGCAGTATATTTCCCAACCATTCTAGTGCTGCACTTTAAACATTGTATGTTTATAAAAAGTGTACGTTGTTCTTGATTAAGATTACAATTTGAAAGGTCAGAGAATATGTGTAGATCTTTATACATTCATCATCTTGATTTTAATATTTTCCCACTTCGCAGACAATTACCTTTTACAATTTTACAATGTTAGGTGCGTGCAATAGCATTAAAAAGAAGAAAAATCGTCTTTAATTCTTAGATTCTGTTGTTCCTATTTTCTCTTTTGCAGAATCTTAAATGTGTTTTGAAAAAAGTTAACCCTTTATAATAATTGTATGTTGTGTGCAACAAAGAGTCTCTGTATGAAATGTTGTAAATTCAAATAACATTTTTTGTCTATGATAAGTACTGTGTGTCATCTTTGCATTAAAAATGATGATAAAAGCTTAAATTGTTTTTAACTTAAAGGTCACAATTGGAAAAAACCTGGCATTCTTTGTGGGTTATGTGAAGTATGAGGAAACAGATTTGGCTTTACCCCTGGGTTCGTATGCATTACATGTAAAATTCTCTTTAAAAAATTCTAAAGTTCAGAATTTGTGCTGATCAGGTTGGAATTTGACTTAGCATATTGCTCAGTGTGCATAAAACTTCTCAACTGTAAACCACTTCTCTATTACATATAGGTCAATGTAACCGATAGCGCGTTAAAAAAAACGACTTCGCGAAAACAGGATCTCAGTACTTTTTTATGCTAGCATCGAGGTATATAATCTATATATCATCTTTTAGGAAAAATTTTCTATTTTAAAATCCTGTTAACATTCAATGCGTAATGCGTCGGTATTGAATAGATTTTTCGTTCTTAAAAAAAGAATCATGACTTTTTGAAAATTGCGCAATTTTCAGAGCAAAGATGATTTTCCTGACGCGTGGCAGATGTTCCGCGTTTGATTACATAAAGAAAGTTTGATATATTTAAAAAGCATATTTTCTCTGCTTTTTTAAAAGCTATACATGGCGTATTTGCGCTATAAAATAATGATACGAAACTGAGTGTACATATACATGATATCTGATATCTGTTATGTACGTTCAAATTAAAATTTTCAACGATTTTGACTCAGATAACCTCATGTCTCTATAGTTAAATTGACTTTAACCTTAAATGTAATTGTCTTAAATATTAATAAGATCCGCCACGCGCGTGACCGGGGAAAATACAGCACTTAAGCTATAAAGGAAGAAGAGGTATAATTGCACATGATATTGTTAGTATAACATTGTTTTCTCTGCACCTGATCCCACCTCTGATGTTTTGGAGGTCCTTGTTTGCTCTGCACCTATTTTGTAATGTTTAATGGACTTTTGAGCTTGAATACTGTTCGTTATCTCCATATATTTCATTCTATCTTTATCTGCCTATCTCTTCCTCGCTTTTCTTTCTGAATCTGTTGAACTTCTTGTGTTCGCTGGTCTACACCTCGTTCTCATTGTTCGCCATTATTGTTGATTGTCTAAATTTAATGACGCGATCAAATTGACACTGATCATGATTTATTCAAATCTCTATTGTTTTTGCGGATCCGATAAAAAAAAATCAGGAATTGTTTTAAATTTTTTATATCGTATAACGTAAATTGGTTTAAAAACCAAATAATATCTGTATTATCTGTATACCTGAAGTGATGGTAGTATTTTTTAATACGACGAATTTATTTATCTTTTTCTACACTACAATAATGTTTATAAAAATGTATATTCCTTCTTTACGTCGGAAACAATCAAATTTCATATTGTACGTTTTATAACTTTTATATATGAAGTATAAATAGAGGTATACGGACATGAAATTTAAATTAAAACAACTTTGAAACAAGCATTAATTCTCGCATAAATTTACACAACTCATCACTGTAAGAGTTGATACGAATCGAGATTACCACGTGTTTTTGCTGTAGCAGTAAACAGTAAAAACATAATCTGAACAACAGTTTTTGTGATTTTTTTACGATGGAGAACATCACACAAATTCATCAGATAAGACTACATTGGTGAGTAAGTATTGTTGAAGAGTTTAAACTGTTTTAAAGTGCATTAATTCACATTCAAATGAAAAAAAAAAGTACACTATAAATGTATAGGCGTTAGCCAGTTTGAACTCACATATTAAATTGAAACTAGTTCATCTGATTTTGTGTTGTTTTTGAAGTGTATAAGCTTTGATGCCCACCTCTAAGTAATATTCAAAGTAAAATCAAGTTTTTCATAATTTTGGAGAGTTGTTGTTGTGTAACACAAACACATCGAATTTTTAACATACTAGTATTAAGGGTGCTGGCACCATTGGCGTCAGAACTTTTATCTGTGAAGACCCACTTGCTTCCCCCACAATACACGTGCAATGAAAAGACAAAGATGTGGAGGGCACGTGTAAATTTATTTATTTATTTACATGTATTTATTTATTTTTGAAAAATGTATCTCTTAAAATTAATTCTAAATATAGAAAACTTTTAATTGCATTTACTTGATATTGCATTCACACAAGTTAATAAAAATATAGATTTATTTTTTGAAAAAAAGTGTGTGATACACATGATATTTTTAAAGTATGATTATGCGTGTATAGTCGCTAATAACGACCTAATATTGATTTCAATTTATGCTCAGATACGGAGCCAGCTGTCTTTTATAGACTGCTGTGGTACTTTCTATCTGCATGATGAAAATGGTTAGAATTTCCCTTTATCAATTTACATTTTCTTTTGATTTATCGCGTATTCTTCAGTGGTCAACTTCATTCTCTGGATGACTATTTGTCAACACTCCTATGAACATGAACAACCTTTGTCCCAGAGGTTTTACCCTGAGTTACAGTTTTTAGTCCAACGTTTCCATTCTCTTAACAACCCTGACAACAGAAACTGAAAAGGGTATTTCTAGCATTTGACAGACAATTATGGTTTACTACTAGGCTAGTAAATTTTCAATTTCAGTACATTGACCTCACCATACCATTTAACTTTATGTATCACATACTAAATATAGTTTATAAATACATTTAATTTTAAATGGATATCATATCAATGTGATAATTCTAGTTTTCTCACTTTTATATATGTAAATTCACATAATCTGTTTCAAAATACATATTCAATCTTATAAACCTTAATCTTTTACAAGATAGAAGCTAACTGCTTGAATACAGCCAGAAACTGATCATGTTTTGGACAAGTCAAAGGTGTGTGAAGTCTTTCAGAGAGATAGCAGTTGATGAAATAAGGATGGCAACAAAGCAAAAGTGCTTTGGTATTCAACGTTTTGTGATAAATATCTGGTGAGGAAAAAAGATTACAATATTTCTTTATTTGTATATTTGGGTAAAAAAAAATCTTAACTGATTGACTAAACATTTTACTTTTTCAATAGTATTGCCATATATATATATATATATATATATATATATATACATATACATATACATATATATATATATATATATATATATATATATATATATATATATATATATATATATATTTTTTTTTTTTTTTTTTTTTTTTTTTTTTTTTTTTTTTTTTTTCAAGAAGACATGTCGAGTTTTTATTGTACCCCTGAAGCACCTGGCAGAGAATTTAAAAATCTTGTGATGAAATCAATTACTTTATATTTTTTTCTTGTTGAATCAAAACTCGGAGGAAAAAAATCATTGTAATGAAGGTGATTTTTTGGCATAAAAATGTTTTTTTATTCAACAGAAAGATTGTTTAGTAGTTACTGTTATATAATTTTTACATCACTGTAAGTGTTCAGCCGGACCCGTTCGTGGTTTTTTTAATTGAAATTCAGATGTACTTGTATGAGGAAAGAAATTCAAATAAAACAATCTTTTTAGCCAGATATTACAGTAGCTGTATGGGAGCTTTGGGTCTGTCAATTCAATTTGCATGTATAAATATCCTTTATACATTGGAAAATAGTTGCACTGGTGGAAGATGCTACTTTTTTATTAACTTCATATTGTTGTGAATTCTTTATTTTTTTAAAAAAGAAACTGGGAATCAAGCAAACCACTTTGCAAATTGTACTTTAAATTTTGAACAGCTTCATTTTTTTTAATTACTTACTATGTCAATAATTGTATTAAAAACAACTGAAGTCAAATGTTCATCAAACATGACTAGTGAATGCCGTCTTCCCCAGCCAAGATTCTTCTGACAAACCCTTGACCTATCTTGCTACCAGAGGTCAGGATTTTTTCTTGAGTCGTGATTAAAGTATGTTGACATCATTTGAACAAACATCAAGTGCTATAGTAAATGACGATTTCTTCATCAGGATATTCTGTACTTTATAATTTCAGTAAAGAAAACCTCATGTAAACAATGATTCATAAGATAACATTCCATTTTTTAAATAGCTTTGGCTTCATCTAACGTGAAATCATATGCACCTAATGTAATCCGGAAACTATATATATTGCAGATATATACCTGCAAACGTACTAACAAATGAACCTATATTTTTGTTTATTATTCTTCAGATACTTCACTTTTTAAAAAATGCTCTTTATTTCTATCAATGATGCAAGATGTGATTCAAGATTATGTGATCTAAGCACTCCTGACATTTGGATTCAAAGCATAACAGGTTCCCATTAACGTCAATAAAAATGACGTCATCTCATTTTCTTGTCATTTCGTGAGTGCGTGTATTTAGGTGTGAATCATGATTACGGTACCTGTTGTTTACTGATAATTAATTTCAAATTAAAATAGGTACACACCTATTAAGCAGTGTTCTTTTTTTTAATTTGAAAAACAAAATCAGTAAAGTTAACGACAGTGCAATAGCCTAAGTCAAAGCTCATCTTCGTATTATGCATAGGAAACTTACCCTGTCATCTCAAAGAAATTTAAGTTTCTCGTTCTTTCAGATTTAAAACTGTTCAAAATATTTGGAGTATATGTTCAAATTGCATTCAAAATAGCCATTAATCTTTTATTCAACCGTTATGTTGTACAAATTCGGAAAGCAACCATTCTCATGAGGCTACAATATATAGCGTGAATTTATGAGACTCACTTTGTTTCAAACTTGAAAAACATTATATGTTTTGTTTGAAAAAAAAATTATACGATGAATTTCCTAAATTTTGAAGCAGCATTACAATCATTTGACATGCAATCTAACTAAAAGTTTTTGTTTTCCAAACCATGTGCATTTACAATTGGCATTGGATACAGAAAAATTGGACATATTTCCATATGCATTTGATGATAAATGTTCTGATAAAAATGTTTGGGCTGGTATGATCAAATGCGGTTGTATGAGAAAACAGAGGTTCTCGGTTATTTTTAAATCCGCTTTCTTATATTTCGACATACAGAGTATTAAAGATTGACCCAGAGGATCAATAAATCTATTAAATTTTCGAATGGTTTTATTTAGCTCTGATTTCTGATTATTTTATTTAATATTTTAAAGACATACAAAACAAATATACAATATTTCCTTTGAAATATCCACCCTTGTACCTATAGATAATATATTAGAAATGACGCCAAGAGCATGAATGTAGATAATGGCGTTAGACCCTCATCGTGAGAAATGCGATGATTTGAATGCTATTAAGTTGATCGTGTTTCGATACATGGAAGTACTATATAATATCGAGTATGCTGTTCATATATGGATGAATATTGAAAGGAATGTAAGTTTTCTCTTATAGCAAAATTTTCCAAGAAAATATTTAAAAGAGGGAAATAAAAATAAAATGCGCCCACCAGATATATACGATATACGACCCTTTTTATTTACTAGAAACTCGCTTCTAAGGCATTAGGAAGGTTTTCCGTCTCTTCACTGTACATGTAATCAGAGAAGTTTTAACTCAGTCTACACTTCGTTCCGTGTGTATTGATGCGTTTCAGTTCCCGTAAAGTACTTAAATAAAAATAAAATGAATAGTTTGTAGTGATTTAGAAACGTTGGTCCCAGGTTTTTTTTTTTTTTTTTTTTTTTTTTTGAAATGCTAAGATATTTTATTTCTACTTAATCATAACAAGAAACTGGTAATATATATAAGCTGTATAGATTAGCCTTTACGTACCCTAGGAATATTAGGAAAAATGAAATTAGGAAGACAAAGACATTGAATAATGTATAGCTTTTAAACGATCAAGCATAAACGTTTATACAACGTTTTTGGCTGCTGGTATCAAGAAACTGCAAATATGAATTTTTCAGGTTTTAAATAAACTTCCTTTGAAAATTTAATATATATCCGCAATTGTAGGTGTTGACCTTTATTTCTGTGAAGTTTCATAAACATTTTCTAAGCCTTCTACGAGAACGCTCCAAGACAAAAGTAAGGTGAATAAAAAACAATTAGTGGTCCCGACTTCCTTCCGCTGACCATCAATTCCATTTTATGCAGAAACCACTTTGATACATTGAAAGGATTACAACAATAAAGTTTTGAAAAGTTTGTTAGTTACAGAGAAAATGATTTTTATGACGTCGAGCTCTTGGAGCTCGAACGTCATCTAGCAAGCGCCCAGTTGAAATCGCGACCGGATATGTACGCGACCAAATGTGTCAGTCGATGCATCCGCAATAGAAAATAGCAATAGCTATAAACCAATTTCTTTGAAAACGCTCAAAATGAATAATACCTTGAAAATAAAATTGCATCAATTATATCTGCAATTAATTCTATTGCAAAACAACAATATTATGTTTTATTCTCACATAAGAAAAATGGTTGTTGCGGATGAATTTCTACAGAAAGGGTGCGTTGAATGACATGAATAACATTTCGGAACTATAACCGTGTAACATAAACAACACAACAGGAGGTAAAATATTTACAAAATTACATAAACACGAATACTACAAGACTAAATTGATTGAATTTCTAAATCTTAGCTTATACAATCTTCTAACCAACTCTATCCTAAAAACCGATGATATTGACCAGTATTACTGTATTTCTCCATTTCCTCCATTTCCCAGTATACCGTATACCACGCCCGTTCGTAACTCGATCGTAATTGTAACAGAACAGAGTCTTGGTTGTAGTTTAGATGCAATCACTAATACAACGCTTTGACATTGGCAATTAGAAAAAATATTATATAAATTCATGAAATCCTTCATAGTTCATAATTGACTGAAAAGAATATTTGGCATGAACATGTTCGACGGTGTCTGGTCAATTCGAACCTTGCTCCATTCGGACCATGACATAAGGCCCCAGACTGTAATTGTGATATTTTGTTTAAAACTATTTTTTTATTATGTCTCCTGAGTCACTCACTTGACTTATCGCTATCTTCAAATTCAAAATTATCTTTTGAAATTCTTTTTCTTGTTCGACGTCATTGAAGCCTTTCAGGCTTTTGTTTTTTTTTTTTAAAAAAAATCACATTTTTCTTGTTTCCATAGAAACGATAGGCATTTAAAAAATTTTGAATATTGACTGAACAAATAGAGTATTTAATCATAATTTCTGTAAATTTTCATCACAATTGTCCAAACCACCTCGGAAAACATCTGTGTGAATATTAACTTTTCTCTGTTTTTTTTTTTTTTTTTTTTTTTCATTCCTATGGCAACTGTTTGCAAAAGATTCTAATTCTTAAAATAGAAATTACTTTTGACAGAATGTAAGGAACAATCTGTACAAGTTTCAAAATAATTGCCTGAGCAGTTTGTGAGAAAATCAAAGTTTAGCAATTTTTACTTTTCTTCTGTTTCCATGGCAACGATGGATGGTTTGAAAATTTTAAATGCGATTTACAAAACTAAAATTACTGGTTATCATTTCTATGAAGATTCATTAAGATTGTCTAAGATATCAGTGAGAACACTTCTGGACAAAATTCTTCACTTTTCGTACGTTTCAATGGCAACGGAAGCCATGTTGAAACTGAAATTTTTTTCCACATATATACAGCTGGTCATCATCTTTTATGGAAAGTTCCAGCAACAATGCCAATGTTATCTGCGAGTAAGTCCCCGGACAACGTTTCCATGTGTACAATAGCAATATGTCCCCTGACGTAATAATCAGAGTAAAAACAATATATTCCCAAACTTCGTTTGGAGAACATAATTATAATAATATATGATATATATTCTACTACGGTTATTGCCGAGATCAAAGAAAAGCCGCGGACATTATTTTCCAATAAATCACGAACGTCATCAAAAAATTATCAGATCAGAAACACATGTCAAATCTGTACAGTTGAAATAAATATTTCACTGTATATTCTAATACTTATTTAGACCACATCGATGTGTCGTCTTCCGCAGTCTAAACGTGTATTGCCTGAAACAGCTGATAAATATCCATTTTTATAGCCAAATGGGGCTGTTCTACGGACCTCCCCACAACATTTACACTCCCGTGATTTTACTGATAAATCAATGAAAAAGACAACTGATTTTGTTATTTTTCATTCATAAAAATTAATCAATCTATGTTACAAGCAAATTTATAAATAATTAAAGGATATTTTTAATCCAACAAAAGTTAAAATCGTCTGCATTTTATGCAATCGATTGACCCTCTGGTGTTAAATGGAACAGCGGAATTGCGACATGGTGACCTAATTCGTTTCTCTTTAGAGAAAACGATCAACTGTATTTTAGAGCCGTTCGTAGAATAGAAATAAAGTCCTTGTTGTCGTGAATGATGCAGGATAACCTCCTCGGTCTCGAAATGTTGTCTGAAATATAAAAGCCTCGGCTTTTATATTTCAGACAACATTTCTCGACCTCGGAGGTTATCCTGCAACATTCACGATAACGTGGACTTTATTTCTTAAATAAACAGTGTTCTGATAGAAAAGGCACGAGGAAGATTAAACATAGCTCACATGCTTCATCAAAGAGATAGAAGATGTAAGAGCAGTGATATTATTTTCTTGTGTATAGTGAGTGTCTTTTTAATTATGCTACAATATTGAAAGAATCGTAACACTCTTCAAAAGAGTTCCGGATTAGGTCCCATATATCTACGCTGCATGGGATTATAAAACACATGCAGGGGGACAAAAAGCTGTTGTGTGGTATCAGTTTGGATATTGTGAACTATATCAATCTAATTAAGCCAAAAACAATGCATTTTTTATTATAGATAGTTGTTTTGTAAATAAAATACGCTAAAAAAATTTATTCATTTTATGATTTCGAAAAATCAATAAATGTAAAGACTTCTGTAAATTTAAATAAGCCAAAGTTTAATTAACTTTCAGCATATTAATATTTTAGTTTTTAACAAATATCTAAAAAAAAAAAAATTATTGAATTATGATGTACAATAAAAGTTCATGAAGGTATTATGTGAAATTTTTTTCTCTCAAGCATATTTCACGAAGATCTTATCAAACAGATCGGGTCATATCCTCATAAACTTTTAAAACGGAAATACTAGACTAGTACACAACTTATATTTGCAATCCAACAATATTCATTTCATCCAAACACAGAGAAATTGACAAACTTTCTAGGGTTTATTTCCTCAATTTAGCTTAGAGCAAAGTTTTATATTATTGCGATATTTTGTAGTTCAGGAGGATATCTTTAGATTACATATAATCCTATGTAAATATTAAAAACCGTAAGCAGAAATACTGAGAAACAAAATAAATAAATTCCTCGATTTAAGGTTCATTGATACACTGTAAGAGAGATAACTCTTTACGGAATAAATGTCTATTATTCCTTAATTTTATAAATTTTTCAAGTTCAAATATCTTTTCCTTGTCCAATTTTATTCCGCATGCTATGCTATAAAATTGTTTGCATATTACTTATAAAATACATTTCTTGTGGAAAATTATAAGCAGCGGCAGATCCAGGAATTTCATAACGGGGGGGGGGGGGGGCAGTAGAAGGCAGGGGATCTGAGAGCTGCATTGAAGCTCCCAGCGGGTCCAGGGTAAAGCCCTGGCGGGGGGCCGGGGGACTGCATTGAAGTCCCCAGCTTGTCCAGGGTAAAACCCTGGTGGGGGTCCGAACTGACGAATTCTAACAAATAATAGATGTTTTCCCCTTGGTTTTTGGATAATACAAACAAAATGTTTTTTAAAAAAATCAAACGGGGGGGGGGGGCACGCCCGGCGCGCCGGCGCTGGATCCGCCTTTGATAAGCGTTAAAGCATCATTTAATATGAGTTAACAGAGGGATTGTTGACCTTAAATAGAAACTATTCCAAAGATATTATGTGTATATAGAAGCTGTTTAGAATACCAAGAAGAATTAACAATTGAAGGATTATTACAAATTTAATGAAGATACCATATTTAATATGCTTAATGCCTTCTTTGTTATTTGCTGTACATCAAACTGACTTTCATGTCTTTTGATCTTTGCACGTAGTTCATATAATCTAAAAATTTTCCTGTACTTTAAAATTTATCTTTGTTCATTTTTTACACCATGCATATAAAAAAAAATAATTTTTCGGCACTATCATTATATCGTTATATAGTGCCAAAATGAGCCTCTACAGTCAGGTTCTGAGAATATTTTCCCTTCACATTATTATTATCTTTCGGGGGGTTGAATCTGCTTTTAAGCACGATGTGACACCAACCTGTCCGGCATCAGCTGAGGAGTGTACCTTTGATTTACACGTGAACTACATTATGACCATGGTTACTTATAACTGGACCATTAATGAAGGCAATCCTGTTCTCTACAAAAATGGAATGTTTATCAGGAAAAGCTCAAATGAAAATGAGGAAATGATGCATTCTTGTGATGAAGGACCGATGTCCTCAGAAGGTAGGTTAGAAGTCGATGTCCTCAGAAGGTACATGTAGGCTGGAAGTCGATGTCCCCAGAAGTTAGGTTGGAAGTCGATATCCTCGGAAGGTAGGTTAGAGTCTAGTTCCTTCGAAGAAAATTTGAAATCTACATCCTCAGAGGAAAGGTTAGAGTCTAATGTCCTTAGAAGGTAGGTTGTACGTCTATATTGCTTTAGTAGGTATATATAGGTATAAGAAGTCGTTATCCTCAGCGAAGGGTGGGTTGCACTCTGTATTCTTAGAATTTAGATTGGAAAATGTTCTCGAAAGGAAGGTCGGAGTATATGTTCCAGGAACTTAGCTTGGAGTCTATGTCATCAGAAAAAAATGTTGGATTCTATATCCTCAGAAGAAATGTTTTAGCTTGTGCTTGTCCTCAGAAGGTAGGCTGGGCGTCTATGTCATCAGAAGATAGACTGGGAGGCTGTGTCCTAAGAGGGTAGCCTGGGCGTCTATGTCCTCAGAAGGTAGACTGGGAGTCTTTGTCATCAGAAGGTAGGCTGATCGAGAGTCCGTTTCCCTAGAAGGGTTTAGGTTGGAAACTATGTCATCAAAAGAATGTTGGAGCTTGTTGACATTCTTCAGGAATCGTACTTGATATTTATAGTACAAAAAACATCTGTATTCAATAGATTAATGGTATTTTTATTGCCTAGTTGTATCTTTCATTGTAATTGTTGAGAAGGCATGACAGAATTGAAAAAAAAGGAAAAACTTAGTTGATGTATAATAGAATTCCTGAAAGAAATGTTAATTCAGTTTAAATGATAATGATTATCAAAAATGTGTACTAGCAGTATTCTGTTAACCTAATACCGTTGATTTTAATTTCATTTTGAAAAGGTACATTTAATATTTTATTGAAGGAAATCCACAACACCTTAAGGAATGGTGCTTACAATATAGCTTTGTTTTTCTTTATATTATTTCTACTCCTCCTTTTCATTGTGAATTATCTTATTTTTAGAAATGAAGGATGTGATAACTGCTGATGGTAACTACAGATTTATGTTCGCCATTAATAATCAGTTTCCTGCACCAACGCTCACCGTGTATGAAAATCAAAGAGTAAGTTAACAGCGTGGCGTACTTGTGATAGTACAGTGTATATTTCTAATGAATGTTGTAATTATAACAATTTCCTTTTAACTTGCTTGCACAAAAAAAAACATTTAAATAGAAAGTATGATTAAATTCCATTAAACGAGATATGTGTATCTAAATAATGAATTTTGTATATTCGAATTTTGTATATTCATATAATTAAGCGCAGTATGTTAAGTATTTAATACTGAAAAATAGTGGAATAAGGGAATTTATCAGTTTTACAAATCCAATATTGTTAGGTACTTTTTTAAATGATATGATATTATACAACTCAGTATCGTTTTATGATGCTTTTCTATACATATGTAGGTGAGAATTCATGTCCACAATGACTTGGTAAATGAAGCCTTCACGCTTCACTGGCACGGACTATCTCAGAACGGTACTGTTTGGATGGACGGTGTTTCCATGGTAACACAATGTCCGATACTTCCCGGACAGAAGTTTACATACCTGTGAGTAATTTAAAGGATTACTTGTTTTTCCTAAAAAGCCATCAATCTAGTGTTGGTTTGTTTAACACGTGCTCTTAATGTGCATCTCCGTTGATTTAATAATCTGAATGTATTTTAGAAATATATTTACACATTTTTTTTTATTATATCAGTCACAACTTCACAAATATTTAATCATTACACCTCCTACATATTTTACACGTATAATCTGAATAAACATACCTGTATTTTAATCACGACAAAATATTAATATACATGCACATGTATGAATGAACATCTTTGAATATTTTAATTATTAAATGCAAATCATGATTTTAAAAAAATATAATCCTTTGCTTGAATATTTTTAAGCTTTACTGCGAGTCCCCGAGGTACACATTGGTATCATGCTCATCACGGAACAATGAGGTCATCAGGCCTTGCAGGCGCCTTCATCGTACTTCCTCGGAAAGAAAAGGAGGTAAATGTTTTAAGGTTCATCAGTACACTGATAAGAGAGATAACTCTTCACGACATAAATGTCTATTATTCCTTTATAAATTTGTAATGTTAAAATACCTTTTTTGTCCAATTTTGTCCCGCAAACTATGCTATAATTGTTTGTACTTTACTTAAAAAATACATTTCTTTTGGAAAATCATAAAAGATAAAGAAACATTTTATGTGAGTGAGCAGAGGGTTTATGAACCTTAAGTGTACCTTTATATTTAGCTGAGACAAAGTAAAAAGGTTAGAATGACATTCCGTCTGTCTGATTGGTTTCTAGCTTAAAAATTTTAACTTTTTGCATTTTTCAACTTCTTTCTTACAACCTCTTTTTTTAATTTCAATCAAACGTGACAAAATGGATCTTTGTAAAGTCTTGTCTCCTCTGACTAAAGCAGATAGTATAGTTATTAAGAAATTTTATAAAAGGATGTGGTGATTTAAATTTTTCCATTCACTTCTCACAAAGAATGGAGAAAATTTATACAAAATATTTTCTTGTAATATGGAGTACATTTGAATTTGTATAATTATGGCGCCACGCGCTAAAATGGTGCCAGAAAAAAGCATGCAAGGTTCATCACAAGGATAAATAGAAAAGAATCTAAATCATTTTCTTTACTCTCAAGAACAGAATGGAGCGATTTGTTCAATTAGTATTATTCCAGCAACATAAAATTTTGTTGTAACAAAAAATTCTTTTTAAAAATTCGAAACATCAAATGTCGTACCGCAGAAATATGGGTGAAATATTGCCAATTCGGCGTACAACAACAATAATCAATCAATCAATCCAATGCCGTAGTTTTAAGCAAGTCACAAAAATAGGAACCCCAGGAAATAAATGCATTCAACAGTATGGTTATCTTGACTTTTTTTTCAACAGAAAAGCATCGATTTATTCAGATATCGATATACTTTTGTTTTTGTTAGAGAACAGATATTCCAAAAACTGATAAGGACGTTGTATTAATGGTCCAAGACTGGAGTTTTCCAGAGAGTGACGTACAGTTGGTTATGTACGAGGAATGGTACATGCAAACGTAAGCAAATCGCTATTCTTAAGTTTTTATACAAATGTGTAGAGAAACATGAAAGCACAGGTATGCAAAACGTGCAGGTGGTTTTTCAGTATTTTTTCAGATTTAGTGTCAACAAGTTTAAAATCAGATTCCCTCAAAAGCTTCTCTTGATATAGTCTTAGGTTTGTGAAGAATATGAATAAAGACGAGTGTTTGGAGGCAAAGCTTAGCTATGATGGTTCTCACTCAAGCATGACGATGCCGTACAGTAATACCCTGGTTAACGGAAAAACAAAGTACTGTAAGTAAAAAAAACTATTTTGTTCTAATTATGTTAAAGAATAAACCTCAAAACTTTGGCAAAATCAGATATATAGCATTATTATTACACTTTGAATTGGTTAATTTTAGATGCACTGGTCTATTTTAGGAATTAATACTGTAAACCAACTATTATTTGCTTCATCTTTTATTCGCGATTCGTCAGTTTGAAATAAATCCGCGATGATTAATTTTCGTGACTGAGGAAATATTCCCTACAAATACAAACTACGCAAAATGAATGGTTCGCGGCGATTAATATTGGCGAGTTAAAAATGGTCGCGAAACTCGCGGATATTTCTCGCACGCGAATAAAAAATGGTTTACAGTATTAATATCTTGATTTTACCTCGCATAATGATTTGTATTTGTAAAAATTATTTATAAAATGTTTACCTCGAATGACGTCAAATGGCTTCTTGCCGCTTCGTTTATAAAGACATTGAATGCACTTTATTACAATGTTCGGATTTCAAGTGCAATGTTATCCTCATAAATAAAGTACATGTATACTTATTTTTAGTTTCAAGTGACAGCTCTGATCAGCAGCGAGCTCTGCCATTAGAAATCTTCAACATAACTCCCAACAGCTACACCAGATTCCGGTTGATAAACTCGGCTCTGTCTGGAGAATACAAAATTTCCTTTGATAAGGTTAAATATTTTCAACTCAGTTTTAATGTATATTCCTTAAGTAAAAATGATCCGAAGTTATACTAATCAATTTTCAGTCAAATACCATAATGGTTATGTACATTTTAATGACTTTTACAAAAAGTTTATTTATTACCCTCAGTATATACACTAACTGTTAGTGTGCTAATATGGATACCTCCTATTTTAAGCCCTAGTTCAGCAGCACACGTCATCGTTGAAATTCTACGTCACTCTGATGACGTCATATCGCTATTTGTTCCTGCAGGTTCTGTTCGTTGTTCGTATTTTGAGCGTCTCTTGTGACATTGTTGAAGTAACTTTTACCGTTTTCAATTTATAGCAGCTATGAAGAGGAACAGAAATTAGTGTTGTCATAAATCCCCACCTTGATATTTTAATCGTTAGAATGAATACTTAGCCTTTTTCTAGATTTATGAAATTCATGGTCTATAGGTTTAAGTTTTAGTATACTGAAATTTTATTAAATGTTTAAAAAAAAAAATGTTATCTCTACTATTTGCCTGACAATGAAAAAAGTTTAATCTTCTAGAATCTTCTCCACGTCCAATACCCTATGATCTAAAAATTTTCAATACATGTGTATTGTAAAATTCATAATATTTCATTTTAGCCATTTTCATGGATATTATATTTTGTCAGCAAACTGTATGTATATAATGAGTTAAAACTATAAAGGTTTTAACAAATGAAACTAGTAGTGATTTGGCTAAATTGGTGATGTTTTTGCCATGTACTAAGGATCTAAAAGATGGACTTCATGCAACGTGATAATGAAAAAAAAAACCTGTTAATCTGTAAATCTTGTGTCACATTGATCAAAATTTCCAGTTCAAGATGGATGAATTAGGTATAGTCTTGATTGAAGTTATCATTTGACAAGTTTTATGGTCGATACTATACCTTGTCAGCAAATACAATCTATCATTAAGTCAAATGGTGACTGATGATTTTCATACTAATTGTTAGGCCATTATGTCTACTTATTTTTCCATTTTTCTCGATCATGACAAGGAGCACACAGTTGGTGTAACCGGTCGGCAGGGGATGCTCAGTCCTCCATGGCACCTGATCCCATCTCTGATGTTTTTGGAGTCCATGTTTGCTCCAATCCCAATTTGTATTGTTTAAATGGACTTTGAGCTTGAATACTGTTCGTTATCTCTATATTTCATTATAACCTATGAGCCACTTGTTAATATTTTGATTTGTTTTTCCACACAGCATAAACTTCTGCTGGTAGGGACGGATGGGGCGGAGATAACCCCTGTTTGGATAGACTTCCTCATAATTAATGGAGGAGAAAGCTATGACGTCATTCTTCACGCATATCGCACCCCTGATAACTATTGGATAAGAATAGAAACAACAGATGTCATGGATGTTCATTTTGTGAGTCGGATTGGTATTATTATAAAGATTTGTAAGATAATTTGAATGAATGTAAATTAAATATAAACAGATTAATGATATGCACTACTGCGACATAATTTCATTTCGTGGGGGAGGGGGTATTAATGTTCATGGGCAGTCAAAATTTTACTGGTTCGTGGAGACGTAATTTGGTGAGCAGCTCGTATATAAAAAGATTTAATGAACACAATGAGGGGATTCGGGAAAAGGTAACGAATGAAATCCACGAACAGAGATCCCAATGATGACCAGAATCCACAAACAGAGATCCCAATGATGATGACCAGAATCTACGAACAGAGATCCCAGTAATGACTAGAATCCACGAATAGAGATCCCAATGTTGTTCAGAGTCTACGAACAGAGATTCCAGTTATGACTAGAATCCACAAACAGAGATCCCGATGATCACCAGAATCTACGAAAAGAGATCCCAATGATGACTAGAATCCACGAACAGAGATCCCAATTATGACTAGAATCCACAAACAGAGATCCCAATAATGACTAGAATCCACGAAAAGAAATCCTAAATATGACCGAAATCCACGAACAGAGATTCCAATGATGACCAGAATCCATGAAATCCCAATGATCCCAATGATGACTCTAGAATCTAAGTAATATTCATTCCGTGTATAAATGCCATATAAATGTAAACTGATTTCTTCAAACATATTTTTTTTAAAAATACACAGATAAGTGTGTTACAAGAAGAAAAAGAGGAAAAACGCCTTTTTCAATGATGAATTTATATTCAAGTTTTGTCGCCGCATATTATCTGACTGCATGCTTTAAGTCATAAATTTAGGATTAGGGTCTCCAAAAAAAAAAACAACAAATTTTTCATCAGATTTTGTTTCTGTACAGTAATTTTGCTGTTTTCAACACTTTGCCTTCCTTGCTTTCATTTTCATTAGAATCCAGTCAAACCAAACATAAGCTTTGCTCAACTCCACTACCAAGGTGCAGACGATAAATTACCTGAATCTGAAGAGAGGGAGTGCTCGAAACTGGAACCTTGTGTAATGGCAAACTGTCACTGGAGGTAAAAAGCAGAAGAAAAACAGTATTACAATATCTCATAAATCAGTCTGTTTAGATGAAGTATATCAGAAGCACATCATATTCTTCCCACTTACATTTTACTGCCCAATGTAAAGCAACAATTTATATTTATGTAAAAGCTTGAGAGAAAATGTTATGACAGTACTTACCTGACACTAGCATTGACAATAAGTACATTGTTTGAAGGCGTATCTTGAGAGTTTTCTTAAACCACCGATTTACGTAAAAAAAATTAATGCTTCGATTACCACCAACATAACTTTTTCAGTCCTGTGGCAATGGCTAAGAGAGAGCCAAATACCAAATGCCTGTCGGTGGCGGATCTAAAAGCAACGTCACGAAGTATTGAAGAGACACCTGTGGCCGTGCCGACCTCACGTGACGATTTCCAGGAGATTTTTCTAAATTTCAATCCAATAGGTACAGATCCTCATTCACATGCATGCTCCTAACAAGTGTCAATCAAATAGCTTTATATATATATATATATTTTTTTTTTAGAAAGCTCGGTATTTAAATATTATTTTAATAATAAAATCTATAATAGTACTTCATTTCATTTAAGGAACCAAAGTGAAGCGTGTCCGTCCTGCAGTAAACTCAATTCACTACAAACATCCCCCTATTCCTCTTCAGGTGTGTTACTATCTTTTTTTCTATTGAAGGTATTTTGCATGTACACATCTATTGTTCAAAACAGTCAGAATACATGTACTTTCAATGAATAATCTATGCAATATATAGTTCACCTTCCCATCCCCGTTAAATTAATTAATTTTGTCCATTGCTGCAATCTAAGAAAAAGAATTATTTATCTGTATAAAAATTTCAATGAATACTTACATGCATGCATGACCAGATTGTAACCAGTCCAAGGAGCTTGTTGAAACCATGTTATTATTATCGTTCATTATTTAGCACTTTGCTTGCAGATTTATCCAGACATAGTGAAAGACAAGAGCATTGTTTGTGATAACGAACATATGGATATCTGTGGGGAATTCTGTCGCTGTACTCACGTCATCAAACTAGCTACCAAGAAAACTACTCAGATTGTCTTACTGGCGGAGGGTACGTCACGTGATACACTCTGTAATACAATATACTGTCAGTATACCAAGAAAACCGCACAACTGTCTTACTGGTGCAGGATAGGTCACGTGATACACTCTGTAAAAGATGGTTCATTTCAAGATGTTTCAAGCTTTAGATTTTTTTTACTTTTAATTTTAGCTGTATTGGGAACTTTCCATCCCATCCACCTCCATGGAAACCGTTTCCATGTACTAAAGTATGGATATCCAGTTATGAACGAAACCACCGGATTAATGGTAGATACAAACCAAGATGTAGAGTATTCACAAGACTTTAGTAAAGCAAAATGGCGGAATCAGAGCTGGAAATATGGTAATGTCCCAGATATAAACATTAAGAATCCACCTCAAAAAGACACAGTCGTGGTACCTGGCAAAGGCTATGTTGTTCTTCGACTCAAAACAGACAATCCAGGTATCGTGTTTCTTCCCCTTTGTGAAATGAATATTACAGACATAATTGATCGAAAATTTTAAGGATTTATATATCATAAAAATATTTTTTTAGGATTTTGGTTTGTGCATTGTCACATTGATAATCACATGACCATTGGAATGGCTGTAGTTCTACAAGTAGGCGAGCCAGATGAGATGCCGAAGCTACCCACTGGTTTTCCGAGATGTTCAAACTCCAAGTTTAATCCTGACGTAGAAAGCAAATCCAAATTTGACCAAGAAGACGGCAATTTTTTAAAGATGTCAGGTAGGTCAATAAAACTTGAAAATAAATGAAAATGTCAAAGATATTGTCTCTCATTAATCAGAAGTCTTTGTTTGATACCATTTTTATTTCGAAAATTTTGTAATTATTGCCACCCGGTAATTCAAAATTGCAACATGACATTACCATTTCAGCTGTTGACGGTACTACCAACATTGTTCATGCTGAGCAAGGAAATTATTCGGAGAACCATGGCGTCTTCGTAATAAAGTACACTACATACACTACTTTGGTGGCGTTCCTTGTGATATTCGTCTTCGGGTTTCTTGTTCTGTGTATAGTGTTTTTTAGTAAAAACTGTAACCAGAAATGTTTTTCATCTAGACCCCAGGGATATAACCCGATTGAAAGTGAACAAACACTTATCTATCCAAAGTAAAGACAACATGAAAATCGATGTAAATGATATTGCTTGAAAATTTTTAGATTATGTGTAGGCATTAAAAATCTTTCGTCAATTATATATGCAGCAAAAGATGTTTGCTACATTAAAGCACTCAGGTGACCTATTGCTGTTTTTTGTCCGTCGTTGTGCGGTTTGCGTTGTCCGTCGTACGTCGGTCATTAACTTTTGAACATTTTCATCGTCTTCTCTCTGTTAAACAATTTTGGTATATGTGTGTATGTATCTATGGGTCAAGGTAAAAAACCATTATGATTTTCATGGTCCCTGCCCCTCCTGAGTGGTGGGACCAAAACCATCAAAATTTTTACCATTTTCAAAAATCTTCTTTACTCCTAGACATAAGACAGCCAAACTGTTTGCATGATTATAACAAACAATGATTTCTTTAACCAAACTTAATTGTGAAATTCATACAATGTGGCCCCTCGTGGTCAGGAGTTTTGTTGTTCGGATTGGGCTGTATGATAATATGGTGAAAATGCATTATCTCCTTGAAAATCTTCGTTCTCTGCTCCTAGGTATTAAGTAAACAGAATAAGTGCATGATTATGATGAGCAAGGGTGCCTTCTCCAAAATTGTGAAATTCATGACCCATTGGTCAGGGATTCTGGTATTACGTAGCGACTGTATTGATTATATAAACAAAAATGCATAAATTCCTTAACAATTATATTTTCTGTCCCAGGGTATTTAACAAACTAATTGGTTAGTTATATAAACAAGGATGTTTCTTCAAAAATTGTAGATTTCATGGCATTTGGGTCAGGGCTCTAGTGTTAGGACGGGGATTATATTGTGAAAATGTATTATGCCTTCGAAAATGTTCTTCCCTGTTGCTACGTATTTCGCAAGCATATTCATCAATCAATTTAATTTGTTTTCTTTCATAATTCTGTACATTCTTTATATTGATGTATTTCACTCAGGTGACCGTTAAGACCACTGGTTCTTTTGTAAAACTTTACATTATGGGAAGTTTTTTTATTTGACCAATATTAGTGCAGTTAAAAAAATTTATATTCTCACTACCGTCAATAATTAAAATTTGAATATATTTAAATTTGTGTCGTCTTCATTTTTATCCATTGACTTAAAAACCGATATCACAGGAAGAAGCAAAAAAGTATTTTGTTTGCATTTTATGTTTTGTCCTCGCACTAGAAATAGCATAAAGATGAATCTGCCATCTTTACTTTCTTGAATTGGATTAAACCACCTCACAGAAGAAAAAGGAAATTCAATTTAATTTCTGAGCTCGAAATTGGGATTCTTTTGTAAAGATTACAGAGAATATATGATGCAAAAGGTTATTAAAGGGGAAAAAACTTTTATTTTACACATGCTGTTATCCCTGGAAGTTAAAAAAGTACTTCTCAATCATGCACTCCCTGTTTCTGTCTGTTACTGTTTGATGTCATAGATGTTATGACTTGTGCACATGGTAAAACTTATTGTTTGTTGAGGCTTTAAAACTTGCGTTTCTTAAACATGATATCGCATTTTAATTAATACATGTAGTTGAATATACCGTATAGCAGGTTTCTTGGCGGGTGTAAAATTTGGCGTTTTAATTGCTTGCTCAAATGTATGCCAATAATTTTGGCGTGATTTATTTTAGCGGACACAGGGTTTGAACACGTTGCAAAAGAACACTAAGAAGAATACTGAATATTTTAGCGATTAAAATTTTAGCGGGTTACTACATGTACCAAAACGCTGAAATAAGCCAAAATTAGCACCCCGCTAAAATAACCCGGTCTGTTATACAGACTGGGACTTGGTACATGTAGTACTTGTACATTCACGGGATCATTCAATATATCTTTTGCAACTGGGGATCTGAAATGTGGTTTTAGAGAATTTCATCCTTTGGAAACGGTGCTGTGTATACATTCTGCATTCAAGCCAACTTCTAAAGTGCAGATGTAACAAGGTTAACAAAGCCAATGGTGTTTAAGCTTTATCTGCTTACATCATTATATACTCTTCACATTGTATTTTTGATCCTTTTGTTATATGTACTTCCAGTCTACTAAATGGAAAGATTGATGTTACACAATTATGCCTTTTATTTGTCTAATAGTTTACACTTGCTCCATGTGCTTGTAAAACTCATTATCCATCCTGAAAGATGTCGTGGTCCCCCCCTCCCCTCATATTTAGGGAATTCTTGCATACTCTTCAACGGAATTTATAAATGAAATGACGTTCTGTAACCATTTGAAATGTTGTGTATCTCTGAGTTTTGGAAGTTTTAAAGCAACATCCTCATTTCTAACTATTATATATATATATATATATATATATATATATATATATATATATATATATATATATATGCATGACAAATCACACCCTGTTCTTGCATTGGAATCCTTTAGAGTCTCTTACAGGTTGTTTTTTGACATTCCGAAAAAGGACTTTTTCATCTAGCAATAATCTTTTTTTATCCTGCTGCATTTAGAGAGAAGTTTTTGACATTCCCTTGCTCTGTATACAGGGTTATTTTTCCCTGTGTTATTTTTGCCCTTTCACACTTGAAAACAATTTTTCCCCGTTTTAATTTCGCCCACTCCAGGTTCTCTTTAAGAAATTGTACTGTTTTCTTTAAATTCGCCCCGTCTTAAATTTGGCTACTTGTGTTTAGTGCGAAAATAAAACGTAAGCAAATATTTTTCTGTATATACAGTATCCTTTTAAGTGTTGTCACTTCTCAACATCAACCCTGCATTTTTATGTTACTTTTCATGTAGATTTTTTTCTTATAATATCAACTTCATTTTTTTCTTTTCATTGTGTGCAGTAGTGTGAGTAATGGCTAAAAATTTTAAGTAGTCAAAAAATAAAAATACGAGTTTCCGTGCTGGTTTTCAATGCAAACCTATAGGGTCTAAAACGGACATATTATTTGAACATTTTAAACTTGGAATATATTCATATCATGAACATTTAATACTAATAGTGAACTTATTTGTGAAATAGAAGTTTATTAAACCAGGATGGACATTTATGGTGTACCACATACAGTAACTTTTTAATTGGAAAAGAGACTTTAATTTCATAAAATATAATTTTCTTCTTATGACCAATTGGGTTATGATGTTGGTACAATGAACTATATAATTTTTTAAATTCTTTTAGATGGAATTGATCAGAATAGTCCAGTTAACCCCTTCATACTAATTAATAAAACTTGAACGGAAATGCAAAGATCTATTAAGATTCTTGACTAAAGGCAATAAAATTGAGAACTTTGAAGTACATAAGGAAAGGAGCTTAGGGCTAGAACACCTTTGGTGATGAGATTAGGACAGATCCCATAAAAAATTAAAGTCATAGTATTGATTGGAGGGTGATGCCATGTTGGGGTCCATTCGTCTAAGGACAGAACTACGTACAAGCGTTGGTGGTAAGGCAGCCAATAAGGTGTACTTTTATATCCGGGATCATGAATACCCTATGTGCGTAAAATACATGTACCCTGTTTTTTGGATAAACGCGATTTTTTTTTTTTTTTTTTTTTTTTTTTTTTTTTTTTTTTTTTTAACATCTTTTAGGACTTACAACTTTTGGGCTTCTTTGTTGACTCTCTGACGTTTTTGCTCTTTTTGGTTATAGCTCTCAGTTTTTGAATATTTTGGACTTTTGGCAATGTCGGATTTATCTTAAAATTTTTTCTTAATACCAATTTTATTGGTCTATTCTGATGACATTTCAAAAAATTGTTAAAAACTTGACGATCACGGTGAATAAATAAACTTTTGAAAAAGATACAAAATCTTACTCTTGGCTTACATCAGTCTTGAAGTTTATTGTAACTGATGTCGTGGAGTGCTAAACGTGATCATGAAATACATGAATCAAAGCGAGATTTCCAGTACAACATTTATTTCTCAATCCAATATAAATGTATACATTTCCTTTTAAAAAAAATCTCCTTGAGATACTTTTATCGCAATCACATTAGAGATACTGAAGTCTCAAACTCATTGAGATACGTCAGTCTCACAAAGGTAGGACAGTAAACGAGAACTATCATTGTCGTACCACATATATGCATCTTTTGCTTCTGCCCTTTTTCTGGTCTCCCAGGGATAACTACAAAATTTATCATACCTCCAGTTCTGATAAGTTATAACAGTTCTATCTTCAAATACCCAGGTGCAGTTGTTAGGTAGAAGTTCTCCCTCAATCCATACCGTTCAGGGTGAGTTACATTTAGAATCTGTAAAACATTAATAAATTCGTAGAGCTAAAATTTTAAAGGAACAATAAGAAACACGGTATATCCCATCCTCACAAGCCAGGGGTCCTGAGTCAACACGTAGCCGTTGGACCCCTTGGCATATTTCATTCAATATTCGTGGGCTTGCTTCTCTCATTGAGAAGCACCAATCAAATTAAAGCTTTAATTTCATAAATAGTTAGATAAGGATTCAGTTGACAATTCAAATGCACGTGTTACAAATTGTTTATCATAGAATGGCTTAATGTGATTGGTTGAGAGATAAGAAAAACAATCAAGATTTGTAATTTTTCCGAAAGACGTCGCTACAGTCAGCCCACGAATATTGAATGAAATATGCCAGGGGTCCAATGGCAACGTGTTGACTCAGGACCCCTGGCTTGCGAGGATGGGTATATCCCGGCTTGCACAATTTAAAAATGAAAATGTAAATAAAGGTCAGAATTCACGGTGATACGGATTATAGAGGACACTGTACTTACCTTTCTTCAGATTTTATCATGAAAATTTGTTATACATAACTACTAAAAATATTTAATGCTCTGTTTTATACGTCTTTTATTGTATGTGTAAACTATTAGTATGTTGATTGATATGTTGTTCTATGCTGACCCCTAATAAATGCCTTTTTGTGTACAAGTTTCTTAACTTACCTAGGTATTTTGTAAACAGTTGATTTTTTTCCTCGGAGTTAATGCGGACAAGGTATCCCCCGTCCTTCACACAATCTGAGAGAGCGTTACTGTAGTTTTTTGGTGCTGATACAAACCGGAAGCAGGCTTCTCTTCCATTATTGTGAGCGAAATAGCTGTACCCTTTGTAGCACAACTCTATACAAACCAGTAACAAACCATTTGTATAATAATTCCTATGTGTATATATCATTATATTTTTATTGTAAAATTCTAATATTTATTTATAGTGTGTTTTTATATTAATTTCAGAGCCAGTTGCTGTTAACGTTAATAAAAGTGATATAAATTAAACACAATGTGAACCACATCACTCGTTCTTCTTACTGCCTTTACAAAATGAAAGAAATTAACACATGACGGATTATAGTAGTGTGCAAATCGTGTGAACAAATTATAATAGCACTAAAGAACATAGTGATTTTACATAATTCACAGTATGCAAATGTTCCACGCACAGTAAGTACTCACACATAGGAAATTTATCAATTATCAATATTTATCAAATTTATTTCATTTATTCATCTTAATTATTTAATTTATTAAATTATCAATAATCACCGAAACCGAAATTTATCAAGAATAATTTATATTTGAAATTACATTGTACATTGAAATCTTAGGCGAGATAAAAAAAAAAAAGGTTTTGCGATAAATTAGTAATTATTATTGTAATCATATCTTTATCAAATCTCTATGTTAAAATTCTTTTTTTCCCGTTTGCCTGAGAGTGCTATCACACTGTATGACCCCTGGTAGTTTAGTATTTTCATTTATCAATTTTATTTTCACCAATTATTATATCATCCTCACAATGTCAAGGTTTTGTGATTTCGGAACTCCACACAAACCTTTGACATAAGTCGTTATTTAAAAGTTGGGCTAGAAAGTTACTTTTTCATTTGTTCCTGGTCTAGGTCTGGAACCAATCAGAAAACAGTTTTTATTGTAGGTAAGTTTTGTAAACAATGACTCGTTTTTAAAATGGAAAGTTTCAATATTGTAGGATTTGTGACTAGTTACTTTAAAAGAAACATCAGGGATTAATTTTTTGAAGATCGTCCTCCTTACAATTACAACAGATATGCTCTGGAGTTGGGCAATTTGATAACGACGTATATGAAAAATATATTCTCATTGGTTAGTTTATAATTACCCTTTACGTCATGTGTAACCTTTAAATAACGACTTATGTCAAGGGTTTGTGTGGAGTTCCGAAATCACAAAACCTTGACATTGTGAGGATGTTTTTATATAAATAAGTTTCTCAAAGCAGGTTAATGTAGTGGACATGGTTTAAACTCTTTAACTTTGCGTCTTTCATAAGGTTTAGTTCAATATGTTTCCTTTTTTTAAAAAATCTTCCTTTGATGCATTGCTAATGTAATAAAACATGGTAATAGCAAATCTATAATAACAAGTAGTTGTAGACTTGGACGACATTGCTTTGTTCTAACAATTAATAATACGTTTTTTATCAAAAAATAATACACGTATACATCAACTTCTTTATCAGCATGAATTCACTCCATCTTCAATCACTGTCTCAAGTCACGGTCCGGAGTCTGCATGTGGCTTTCTCCTACACGGCCAGAATGGGAGAGTCGTTTATTTTGGTCCTGGTTTGTGACGATGGTCTTCGATAATTATTTATTTAAATAAATTTTACGATATGTGGATAACTCTAGTGAAACCCATATTGGTTACTTACGTGGTGTAAACATTTTCCATTGCGTTGAATCATAATTTAAAGTGTTCAGATTTGACTCGCATTTACCACAACAACCACATCTCCTTGTTCCTGAATGCCAAACGCCATTAGTTATAACACCGTGATTCTGAGAGCAGTGCCGGAAACACGCCTGGACAGTTGAAATGTGATAGTAAACGTCACATCCGGTGATATTTTTAGTCTCAGAAAAAATAAAAGTCTGCTGTCGAAACGTTGCTATAACAACTGATAAAGTTATTACTAGCAGTATCATTGTCTTTCGATGAAACATCTTTTCACGCCTTTTGCAAACTATCAAGAAATGGAAATCGGCTTGGATTAAAACGCAAAATATCTTAAAAAGATTTATTGTAAGGAATATTTAAAATATGCATGATCTATATGGATTAGAAAAAAGCATGAAATTTAAATAATGTTCTACATTTGTTGTTTAAAATATTCTGAATTAATAAATGGAGATGACTATCGACCGGATATTAAATTGAATGTGCTTGCATAGATTAATCATCTTCCATACAAAATAGCTTTTTTTATATGCCAGAAGATATACCTGGAAATATCCATTGAAATACATAAGATTAAATTCTTTTGAACAATCCACTATACAAATGCCTATAAGCATTCATGATATGCGCAAAAAGGATCATTATCTCGATCGTTGGGATTTTTAGAATGGTCCTTCGGAAGAGACCGTGTAAACAGAGGTCACGTGCCGCAGTAGATGCTGAAAAGAAGAACATCCCTCAATGCTCAATGACCAAAAGTACCGAGTACACTTCCAATTGGTGGCTCCCCAAAATTAAATGATTGAAAAATTTTCCAAGGTGCTTTAAACCAACAAACCATTGTTATAAAGTATAGAGCTGTACTACGGTATGAACAGGTTAAAATTTGTAGAAAAATTTGAAATAGCACAAGAATAAAAAAATGTCTTCTGAATAAATATAATAGTGACCTTTAAAAGTATTTGTTTGTTTCTTAACGTCCCTCTCGGGAATTTTTCACTGATATGGAGACGCCACCACTTGCCGGTGGAAGGCTGCAAATTTATACCTATACTCGGCACTCAGTGCCATTGAGCAGTGAGGGATCTTTTTCGGTGCAAACACCTACTGCGACACGGGACCTCGCTTTTTACCGTCTCATCCGAAGGACCGGTCTCCACGTCCCGTAGTGGATTCGAACCCGCAACATAACCTTTAAAAGTGAATTATAGTTTCTTAAAGCAACTTCTTTCAGAGCGCAAATATAGCGAATAGCACCTCCATTATTGAGTAATTGATCTTTACACGGTACTTCCGTAGCAGAAATACACTGTATATAATACATTTTAGGTCAATACCATTTCTTAGGTTTGTTACTGGCTGTCTACAGAAATATATCGGGTTGATACTTCTTATAAACGGCGAGGAATCCATACATATATAATTTTTTTCCTCTTTAAAATTTAAAAATTATATTTTGCAGTGTATTTATCTATTGTTTGCATTGTATTGTTTGTTTAAAACATGCAGTTTGCCAATATGTGCTTTTAAGTTATTCTCTGTAATCACTTAAACTTCTTTACCACACATGATCACCAATTTTGAGGAAACTTTGCCATTTATTACACCTTGACACCGGAAACATGTATCAAGTACACAGGTAACTTAAGAAATAGTGTGGTTAATTGCTTCTTTGCAGTGTAACCATGGAAACAATCTATCAGTGGTTTAAAGTGATTTTGTTTTTGCTGCTATAGGAATTTAGTTACCTTCTAATCAAGAAACTTATTATTTGATGCACCTTGAATAGTACTTATCAGATAGAACTTAAGGTGAAATATCCCTCTGCTCCAAATTTCACCCTTGTTTTTTTTTTTTTTTTTTTTTTTTTTTTTTTTTTTGTAATTCCCAACATTGATTTTCATCAACCACAATATCATTAGATTCAAAATGAAAATACTTTGAAGTATGAAGCGTTTCTTACTTTTTCAGAAATGAATGCTAGTATAATGTCTAAACATGATATGAAGAAAATTTGATATGGTGAATTGAAAGATCAATAATTTTTTATCTCACCCTAAAATTAAAAATATGATCGAAGTATATATGAAAATAATATCTACTATCATACCTGTCTAATTCACATTAGAAAAAATAACGAAGCGTTGCTTTTTAAATCAGACTATCACATTGTTTTCTGTGCTTGTAAAATAAAAATGCATCCATCTACAAGAGTTATTTTTCCTTTTACAGGAGTTATCGTTCTTCAAAATTTTTTTAGTGAAAAAAAAATTGATTGATTGTATGTTAAGAGAGAGAAATATAAACTTTTGGAAACAGTCATTGCCACTTGTTACACTGCTGCAAACATTAACTATGGGACTCTGTGCATGTTGAAAAATGCCATTTTTCAAACTTTAGGGCATGTTGCCATGGTAACCATGACACATAGCAACCAAGTTTTGACTGATTTGATTTTACAGTATCAAAGACTTTCATCATAGAGAGTTTGGAGAAATTCTGAAACTATGCGTGCCACAGCTCCTATATAAAATTTCAAGTCATTACAGAGAATGGTAGTGTGCATCCTTAGAGTGTCATCTTATCAACACTGAACTTTCTTATTAAGATTGTGAGTATTATTACAAATTACATACATGTAAAAGCAAAATTTTTGTAAGAAATTTTTTCTAGAAATAAGTGTTAAATAAATCTTAGTTTTCAGAACATAAACACAACCAATAAATTAAGAAATGTACATGATAAGTGATGAAGTGAATCTGAAAGGTGATTCTTTGCAATCTACATGTAAACATGGAATTACAGTCAAACCTTGTTATCTTGATGTCAAATGGGTAGGAAAAGAAACTTCCATTTATCCGAGGATGTGAGATATAGAGATAAAACCACAGAAGGAAAGAGTGGCTGGGACTTTCTACTCTCTTTGAATATCAATGGCATTTGAGATATCTTTGTTCAAGAAACCAAAGTTTGACCATTTGACCTTTATTTTTATTTTTTTTTTATTTTTTTTTTTTATAATTTTCCTTTTTACACACTAAAAACTGCACTTACATGTATAAAGTAAAAATTAGAATCTTTAATTAAAAATTCAAAAATAACAGTCATTAGAACACATTCATAAGCTGAATTAAATGTGCAAAGTAGATCCAGATGTGTACATATTATACACATTTTGTTCTATTAATGTAAAGGTGTAGGAATTTAATATTTGCTTTTTAGTTCATATTGTACAAGTCAAATATATTCACAGTGTCCCTGAAATGTACAGTGTCATGTACATTATATACAATATTATACATATTAAAATTTAGATTACATGTATTTCATATATAAATGTGCTCTGAAGCATTTTTTTCATTCCTGCTTTGATGCCTTTAAAGAAAAAAATTAATGACCTCTTAACCTCAGCATTTACAAGGTCAATAACAATTTAAACCTTCAATTAAATTCCTATTCCTATGGAAATGTTTTCTTTTAAGTGTTTGCATAAATACACTTGGGTACACTTCAGAAAGAAAAAAAATAAAATAAATGTTGACCATATTACTGACAAATGCTTGATAATTCAATATTAATACTTAACCAAAAAGTCTACTACTTAAAATTGGTTGTGCTATTTGCAAAACTACAAATTAAACCTTATATAATCATACACAAAGTGGTGAACCACAACCTATGAGAAAAAAATTATAAAAAGGATCATCAATTTACTAAAAATATCAACTTTTAATATTTACATGTATACGTAAAACAAATATTCATTATTGAATATTCTTAATAATCATTACAGACCAAATGCAGCTTTATCAAATTACACACACAAACTTGCATTCATATTTATAAGGAATTGAAATTTTCTTTCATCTCAATACATCCTTGTATTCCTAGATACATGCATATCATTTAAAAGTACCATGGAAAGATACGAAAATAAATTTTTATTCAAGAAAAACATCCTGAAAATAAATTTATCATTGAATGGATGTATCTGGAGGAAAAAAAATTATGTGCAAAGCTCAACTGAGTGTTTGGTGAAAGAAAACTTTGTTATTAAAAAAGAAAATCTTCAGATATAAATTTAGTACATTTACATTAATTCATCAATTGAGAAGTTTTATATACAAGAAAATAAATGAACTGAAAAGAAATAACTTCAAATGCTGATACAATAAAGCAATGGCATATCTATGTACAAAGCACATTATTATGCTAAAAGACTTACTAGTATTTCAAATGATACTGGGTTCTTTTAAAGTTCAATTTCAGAGTCCATATTCCCATAATTTCAAACTGAATATAGACACAAAGCTTTGAAAAGGACATGATTAGTCTTTTTTTTCAAGATTTCACATCAGACTGACTCAAATGTCCTAGAAAAATTGTAAAATAGAAATTAATGTACAATGAAATATAATTCTAAATTCAAACTATTGCCACCATCTGTTTAGAATAACCCCCCAAAATGCCATTCCACTTATTTTTTTTTCATGCTAATTTTTTCTCTTTTCCATGGAATTACAGTAGAACCTGTCTAATCCAGACATCACTGGTTCCAAAGAAATTGGCTGAATTGGAAAACATTCCAGATTAGATAACATCTTAAACAACTGAATTTACACAAAAATATCTGCTTGTTGTGTATGTATATAACCTGAATTATCTCCAATATTTTTTTTTACAAGAAATACCTCCTTCATATGTATCCATTAAGTGTCCTCATTACAATAAAATCTTATATATCTGGGTTGACAAAGCTCTTATATCCCCCCTCGGATGATCGCCTTAGTTTGACACAGGTCAGTATAAGGCACACTAACGTCACAATCAGGACCACTGCCAAAACTATGGAGATAATCTCAGCTGAAAAAAAAAAGAAATATTACACTCGTTAACAACTTTTTTACTTAATTATATCTTATCAACATCTACATTGATTTTTTGAAGTCAAAGACATTAGAGAAAATAAACAAAATTAACTTTCAACTGAACTAAGTCTTTTTGTCTCTTTGTTCATAAACCAAATTAAGGTAAAAGCATATTCAAGCAAACTTCATATTTTTTCCTACTTAAGTCTTTTAATGAAAGCTCAACAATCCTTATAATTAACTTACTCATTCAAACTAATTGCACAAATCTACTAATCAAAATTCAAAAATATAAAATGACAGTTTTCTTTTAACTGACATTGTTTATATTTACATGTTGTTAAGTAGATGCCGGAATTTTTAGAGTGGTGATGGCTCTTAGTTTTCTTTTAACAGACATTGGTTATACTTACATGTTGTTAAGTAGATGCCGGATTTTTTAGAGTGGTGATGGCTCTTAGTTTTCTTTTAACTGACATTGGTTATACTTACATGTCCTTAAATGGATGCCAGATTTTTTAGAGTGGTGACGGCTCTCGCACTCCCTCCTCCAGTCTTTAGGCACCGCAGCGGCCGTCAGTGAGAGGAATTTACTCAGTTCACACTTCTCTGAACATCCTATCAAAAGGAAAGAAGAAATATTTCTTCATTTAAAGGAAACCGTACAAAAGAATGAAAATCCATACAACATAACGATAACGCAAATAAATATTCTAGACTTTAATCATGGAAAAAAGTAGAAATAAAAAAACCGTCATTACTATTTTTTTAAAAAAAAGTGAATTTTACATTAATATAAAAAGGAGACACATATTAATTGAATATTTAAAGATTGTACCAAATTCCAGTCAGCACACAACCATCAATAAATTTTCACAAAACTAACCAATTTCTCAAGACTGTCTTTATAAACCATTATCTGTGGATTAATTACAGGAAATGGAGCTCTCAGAAATGAAATATGCAGAGGCAATATGATTCTGAGCTTCAAGTACACAAAACTCCAATAACATATTACATACATGTAACCATGCACTTAAGGAGTTGAATGGGTGTTATGTAATGGATATGTTGACTTCCAAAGGAATGGTTGTAAATAATTCAGTCATGAAGTTCACATTTATTTGACACGAGTCTTACCAGGGATTTCTGAATACATCTGGGTAGTCTACATGTGACTATTCTGAAGCACCTGTTACACAATTCATATTGTATGATGTTGCTTACAATTTTCACAGGCACACACGTAAATATGAGATGGAATAATCAATGATGGAGAAAAGTTGGTTGAGATTAAATACTGCTTGACTTAGAGGCATGATATATTAAATATATGACAGAGTACAATGTCTTTATGATTGGAATGTCACAGTATGTACTAATCATCACAGAGGACACATCTTACCCACGTACCTTCTTACATACGTATTTATACATGTATAGTATGTCTCCGCAGTTGACAACCCACTCAAAGCTAACAACCAAAGTACAGATATAGATTTTATAAATAACACACACTCCTGCTGTGCTAAATGGCGATTATTCCACTTAGTCCAAATAAGAAAACACTTATCAATCACTACTTCAGGTGTTTCTGATACATGGACTGAAATAATTGATAATTTTTTACCAAGTGATAAGAGTAAGGAAATCCTTGTTTGTAGGCATTATAATTGATGTCCACATGTATTATATCAATCAGCATGTAATCTTTTCATACATGTAAAATGGGCTTTCAATTGTCTGTTTCATAGCACATGATCCCACCTCTGATGTTTTTAGAGGTCTGTGTTTGCTCTGCTCCCAAGTATTATTTAAATGGACTTTTGAGTTTGACTACTGTTTGTTACATGTATCTCCATCATGTCCATATTTCATTGTACTGACTGCACACTTAATGCTTAATGGAGAGGGGGGGGGGGGGGGGGGAGGGGGGGGCACACCTGTTTTGTTCTATGTGTTAAATAATTATCTTAAATCAGAGAGGACATAATACTTTTAAAACAATCCAATCAAAAAAAATCACCAAATTAGTGAATATTAAATTAAATAAACCTAAATAATATTATAATAATAACCATCATTGTAAATTGTAAATAACAAACTTATAAACCATTAAAAAGAAGCAACAAAGATAAGTAAAGTTTCCTGACCTTCAAGAGTAAGAATTGTGGAGGCACTAGAGTTGGTTGAGTGATTATCTTTGTAATGTATTTCCACGTAGTAGTATTCAGCTTTCTTATATAGTTCTAGCATCACAGTGGCGGCATACACAGGACTGCCGGTAATGTTCTTATACAGACCCAGGGCACTCAGCAAGGCGGCCACAGTTGTGTCATGCTGAAAAAAAACAACACAGGAATGCCTTTAAATTTATTGTGATCTACTCTTAGTGACCTTCATTATGTGTGTATGCATAATGAAATTTGTAGCTATCAAATTTCTGGAGAAAAAGTTTTATATAGTCAATTCTATGAAATGGACCCTTTTATATGACCATTGCATACACACCATATAAGTGGAACATTTATTGAAACACAAAATTTAGGGATTGGTTCTGAAATATTGGCTTATTTAATGACAAAAAGCTCAATTTTACTTCCGATGCAGGATGAATTGTTTGCGATGTTCAATTTTAGTGATCTAAAACACTCATTAATAATACCAAAATTGAATGCTTACTAAAAATTCTCCTTATACAGTTTACACATGTACATACGAGGGTTGTTCGGAAAATTCGTGGTCATATCTTTTTTATTTAACGTCATATGTTATCCAAATTTGGTAGAAATATTCCAACAATAAATTTAAATAATTTGTATTAAATTTTTCAAAAATATTATGATTTATTTAAAACTTATCCAGAATTAAAAACTGCAAAAATCGGATCGTGGCGCATGTCAAAATTTAGTAATTTAGAAACAATACACTAAATAATGTCTGTAGTCATCTTCTCTGTAAAATGGAGCAAAAACGAAAAAATCCTAGACGGTTAAAATAAGAACTGTTACATCAATTCTTATTCCAAATTATGGCTTAATATTTTGCTGCGGTAAAAAGAGATCAATTTGAGAAGACAGGTAGTCCTCATTGAAAACGACAAAAAAGATGACGTTGTAGAACGTCACGGCGCAGCAGATAACGATGCAGTTTTGTGTTATACTCGAGGAAAATCCTGAATAAACGCTAAAAATGTCAGAGGAATCGGAAAATAGGCCACAAGCGAGAAGTGCATGTGTGTAAATGGTAGAGGCTGTATTTGAGTGACAGAGACTCTGTATCGGACGAGAACAATCTGTGAAGAAACGGTTTAACTGTAAACTTTTAAAAGTTGGGACGTCATGGAAAGACGCAGGCGCTTCAGAGTTGCTGATCTTGTGAAAGCACAATTAAGCGGTAAACAGCTGATAAAAGAAATTAAACATCAGCAAAGGAAAGTATAAAACGAGAACAATTGTTAGAAAAATAAATATCAAGTGATTGAAAAAAGATTTTAATACGTGGGTATTGGACTATACTGTGTGAATATATAGGGATAGAATTTTTAAGAAACTCTTGACGCTATGATTTTGACATTACATTGCTTTTAAGTGTGCGCCGTGGTTACAAAACATGTTGATTTTAAAATGAAGTAAATTAATTTCTATCAAATCGAATGGAATGAAATTTCACAGATCAACAAAACAAATATTTTTACACATGATATTGTGCTTATTTTAAATTTCTTGGAAGTAGTATGACAAAGATTGACATCGTCCACGAACTTTTCGAACAACCCTCGTACATGTACAAGTCATGATCTCTACATATAATATCTGTAATCAGTTTGGACAAGTGTCACTGGTTCAGGTTTCTGACATGACAAACAAAAATCTCTCCCCCTCCCCTTTCACAAGCAGCTTTTTGTGACAAATATGAAGTTTCTATACTGTGTCATTACAAAGTTTTTGGGTCAAGTAAAGGGGATTGCAGCTTACCAGAGCATCATATTCATTAGCAACATTTTTAAAGATCTACGAACATGCTAACTACATGTACATTATGTGCCTTACCCCAGAGAACATGTAGAGCTTGGGTCCTGTGTAGTTCTTGCCAGAAGCGTTGACCATGTTATCTCTCATCTCCTTCAGTAAGGGTCCTTAAAGATTTAAAAACACAATTTATACACAGTTTAAGTTAAAGAAATAAATTTCTAATAATTAAAATATTGAGACAAACACAATTATTTTGACTGCATGTGCACCGATACTATAAGCATAAATATTTACATTTCCAATGTCTTTGTCTGACATAAAATTTCAAATAGTAAAAATACTTTATTTCTACATAAATCTACTGGTTCATCGACAGGCGTGATGAAGAAAAAATCACAAGCGGAGCGGACAAATAGAGACAGAAGCGGGGCTTGTAGCACGTTAATTTGCAGAATCAAGAGCATGTAAATATAAGGAGTACTGTCAGATTTTTTGGTTTCATGACGATGATCAATCGATTGGCTTGCGTGATAATTTTATGCATAAACGCCTACGGCGTTTATGCAAATTATCACGCAAGCCAATCAATTGATCACATCATGAAACCAAAAAATTAGACAGTTATTCCTTAAATATTTCAAATCAAATAAGTAAAAATTCAATTTTTTCTTGTTAGAGCTATACCAGGTAGAACATAGTCTCTCGATCCTTTTACAATTTTTTTTTTATCTTATATTTTTAAAATTTTTATTATGACTTACCTCCCTTTAATTTGGCCATCTCTTTATTATAGTACAGTAAATGGAACTGCCAGGCTTCTAATTGCCTAAGTTTATCGTACACGGTGGTATTTCCAAATTTTTCTAATGCCCAAGGGTCTAAGGTCATATTATGGGATTTCTGTGAAGTAAAGAAAAAAAAAACTTCTACTATTTAGACAAATGAACAACCAAATATGCAGTTAAAATAAACATTTTTATATGTACATGTAAACTATACAATCACAATCTATAAGGTATCTAATAACGGTATCTAATTTTCATATCATGTATAAAGAATTTCCTACCCTGCTTTATTAAGAACAAACCTTCTGTGTATTTCTGAGTTGATGAATGTTAATAATTCTTTCAAACAAATAAAATGTTATTGAAATATATTTTACTTATATGTCCAGAGTTCTTGAGCATCTAAAAACTGATCCATCCCTCTATATTGTAATATTATTGGAAATAAATTGGAAATAATATGTTTTATGCATTCATATGTTTCTAAGCATTTTTGAGTTAACAATTTAGCTATCTGTATATTATGTAATGTGTTAACTTAGGCTTCGTAAACTACTTGCATGTTATGTAATGAATAGTCTCAGGTTTTAGGGACCTTGCGGTGTTTAGCTAATAGTTACAATGTGATCACGTGATCAGTATCAATGTTAGATGCTCAAGCTGCAAGTGTCTGTGCACGTTGAAATTTGTAAAGGAAAACACCCACCACCACCCCGTTCAACCGTCCCATTCGTAGTTAATTCTTTACATAGTGTTATTATCATTTTGTTTGTTGGCCTATTGAGAAGGGAGATAACTTCTGGTGCACAGTAATAGTTAATTTGTACCTACTTTTACTGGTAATACATATCTTGTCCTAAATTAAAAATTAACCATTTGAAATAAAATCAAATAATCTTGATTGTTTGTTACCACCTTATTTTTCAACAAAGTGTTTGATAAAACTTGGGGTTTTGGTTGATGGCCTATTGTTGGTTGCCACCTTATTTTTCACCATAAGTGTTTGATAAAATTGTACTTTTGATTACTATCATGCTGTACTTTTAAGTTTTGGGAGATCCAAATCCTGATGTACATACAAATTGCAGAAAAACATAGGATCTCCCAATTTTCATGTCTTACCTTTGTGTCATTAATAAACGACATATTTACAACTACATTCATTCTTAGTTTTGTACTCTGGCTGAAAAATAACAAAGCTGCGGGAAACAATATGTTTAAAAATTTTCATTCTGAGCATATGGAAGGCATAAAATTAAAGTTTTCTACCTAATGCAATACATGTGTAGTTGATTGATACTACACAATGCAAATTTCATGGTAATTTAGGTAATCCAGCTATGAGTTTTCATAATTTTTCATTAAAAAATCATGAAAAAGGAATAAAACTCTGACTATAACATAAATAATAAAGTTATCTAATTATCTAATTATTTAGTTTGTCATACCTCGCAGAACAATGTATCGGCCGGCTTCCACGCATTTCTAATGCTGATATCTGGATAGCCTGTTTTCTTCTGCAACAGCTCATAAAACGCCTAAAAGAGCACATACAAGTGATCATAATTTACATATACAAAGTGGTACGTACATGTATAAGGGCAAAGTTGCAAAAATTATATTTACAGCTGTACAGATGTGAACCACCTTCTCTTCACTAGAATATTTTTTTTGCTAATCACATGGTAATTATAACAAGAAATAAGAGATAAAAATGAAAACCAAGCAAATAAAGTATGCTGTAGGAGGTGTAGGAGGCAAAATTTGAGAAAAATCAAACTTTTGCTGAAGATGAAAATTTTATCAAAGGATCGAAGCAAATCCATTAGTTAATGTTATATAAGTCATTTCTCATATTTTTTTTGTTTTTTTAAGGTTATCTCTCTTAGCAAAGGATCATGCAACCTTAACCAATACATGTATATATTACATGTACAAAACTTTTACAGAAGTTCACACAATAATCTGAATAATTCATGTATCTGAAGGTTATGTTGACCTTTGACCCCTTTCAAGGTCAGAAGGCCAGAGTCCCATTTACAGGTGGCCCCATGTTTTTTTTTTTTTTTTTTTTTTTTTTTGACCCACAGTTTAGAAGTACCAAGCTGCCTATACATGTATTAATGAATTGGTATTGTCAATAATACATAAGTGTTTGCTTAAACTTACATCAAGGAAAAATTTTCCTATTGTGAAAGGTGAAACCTAAAAGTACATGTATCTACATACATTTAAACCTAGGTTCTATTCATTTTAGCAAGTTTAGATACCAATTGAAAGACTGACAACTTTGAAATCTATATATATATCTATACTCAGTTTTTCACCTTTGACTTACAATCTGACCCCATGCAGATCTGACCCCAGAAAAGGAAGTTGAACAAAGCCCTTTAAGATAACATGGTTGTCAAGAACAAGCACTGAATATAATGAATGGTGTTAAGAAATTTTTTAACATTTGATAATAGAGAATCATTGTGCTCTGTTGTGACAATTTTAATTATTTACCTTGTTCCGATTTTCTTCTGTCTGTACTTCTTTTGAGGATATCGTCTCTTCATAGAGTTCATTGTATCGTGAACAAAACATCCCCATATTAATAACCTATTATAAATCAAAAATGAAAGTAGAAAATGTGAAACAGAATTTAATTATTTTTGAAATTTAACAAAACTATGACATGAAAGACACAAGATTTGGATAATGACTCAATCAGAATTAGATAAAAATGAAATCCTGCTTGTTGTTATCAGTTTTTTGAATCAGACAAAACAAAGAACTAGGGAGAGGGCTAAAATAGGCTATGCCTGCTGCCCAATCCCATTCACTTCATGTGAATAAAATTATGTATAAATTAAAAAAAAGAACTAGGATAAAAGCATTTACCAGGCTAAGATCAACCTACAATGTGGAATTCAAAAAATTGCAGTTTAATTTACCATGTGAGGATAATAGTTAAGATTGGTCATGAAGAACAGGAGTCAATGCAATACTTATTTCAAGGTTAAATGAATAAAGGGTTGGTCGAAGTCACAGGTCAAGGTCAATTTATGACTAATTTAAATATCATTCTAATTTTTCTGTGTGAAGTTTGAAGAAGATACATGTAAGCACCATATGTCATCCCCAACAGAGGTAAAATTGTTAAAGCCTCCCATTTCAAGGTTAAAGGTCAATGTCAACTCTGATATGATTTCCCTTGACCTGCTTTAATTACAGGTGAACAAGACCTAGATGCAATCATGCAAGAGCTTAACAAATTCTATGAAAACATGTTCTGAATCAATGTTTATACTCAGTCTTGTAAATGTATGTTCCTTTGTAAACAATTTACAAGACTCAGTATTTCTATAATGCAAATTATAACTCAATTTTGGAATCCTGGCATTTAGACAAAAAAGGGAGAAATTTTGCTTCCCTGTACCATTGATGACCTGTAAGGTACATGTAACTATGACACCAAACAAGTCACACCGACTGAATGAAGTTGAACTTTTGTATCTCAACTGATATCTCAAATACCATAATGTATATGTCAAAATGAGTTGGAAGTACATGCAAGTCCCAACCACTATTTCTTTGTAAATTAGGCCTAGGTAAATAAATTGTGTGTTTCCGGTTTCCCGACCGACCCTAAAATATATGAGCCAACGCTGAAAAATTTATCCACAGATACAATTCCATTTTCACTATTAGAAATCCTAATCTTGATTACTTCGGTGTTTGGGAAAATGCGTACCCTATTCACATTAAACAGAAATGCCATTAGTAAGCCACCCTTTCGGGAAAAAGAAATGAACTCTTCGTTTTTCTCATTTTGTTTAATATCAAAGTTGAATTTAAAATAATAAAATGTAACAATAAAATAAAATGTTTTCCCTACCTACCTTCCCTATTTTTCCTCAGGTTGGAATAGGAAACACACTATTTATTTATCTTGGCCTTATCAAAAACTTAAATCCTCAAATATCTCAAAGTTTTTTTTCTGAATTCCCATTGAGTTTGAGATAACAAGGATTGACTGTTCAAGTACTGTAAACCAACTTTTATCCGCGTGCGAGAAATATCCACAAGTTTCAGGACCTACTTTAACTTGCAAATATTAATCACTGCTAACCATTTATTTTGCTTTGTATTTGTAGAGAATGTTTCCTAAATCTTGAAAATTAATTGTCGCGGATTGATTTCAAAAAGACTAATCCGAAATAAAAGATGACATGAATTATAGTTGGTTTACAGGAATAAATACAATGAACACATACATTGTCTTCCTTTTCTGGTCGGGTGTGGACAGGAATGGGCTGCCATTCTATAGAGGGGTCAAACTTCTCCTGGTCAGTGGGAGGATAGAATCCAGCCAGGTTACTGTACGCAGACATCAGGCACCGGTCTTCATTGGAGCTAGCTACCTCTATCTGAAATACATAATATAAAGTATATGTCAGGCACGGATCCAGGAATTTTTTCCGGGGGGGGTTTCCATCCCAATCAAAAATAAAGTGCCCCGCCTCAGCATGATACGCCCGTCAAATATTGTTCAATTATCATAAACAGTTTAGAGTGCAAGAAAATCATGTCAACCTTGATACAAGGGTTTCCATTCCTTATAATGTTTGTTTATACATGGTGTAGACTTTAATTATAACAAGTATTACATTATAGATCCTCAACTGGTTGTGTATGCCTATCTGCAGCCCCCCCACCCCCCACCCCCACCCCCCGAACACACACCTTTCATATTTGTGAGACATTTCTTAGTCGATATTTTCAAAAGATTAAATAAAAATAATTAAAAATATCATATTAAACAATATCAATTTAGTCTTAACAATTTCATCTATACCAAATTACCAAATTAATTTTAAAAATAAAAGGCTGGCCATCAAATGACATATGCTATAAACTGACCAGCAGTTCTTCTGTCTAATTCCCAAAGGATACAGATAAGAGCTGCTTGATCAGAGATGCTCTAACATAAATGATTGAGGCAGCTAGCCTTCCTACATTGAACTCATTAATTAATCTTTAACTGGATGCATGTCCACTCATTACTCCAAAGGGATGAATGGATCTGCACTGTCAGTTTTGTAGTGCAATAAAAATGCATATTTATGTCATTCTGAAATTAAATTTGAAAACAAAGATTTTTATTTTTAATTTGTTACAAAGATTTATAAAAAGAAAAACAAACTTGTGTAATCTTGATGCAACATTTTTATTAAGGTTCCTGCATGACTCTTAGATTTGTAGGGACTATCTACCATAATTAAAACATTTTTTAATAAGTGATGATACAGATATATTATAATGAACTATGTTTATATAATCATGATAATGAATCAAAATTGTATGTTTCTTTCAATGCACTCTTATATAACTTATTTTACATTGTACAAGATATACACTCTGTACAATTAACGTAACAATTTGAAAAATAAAAAAATAATTTTGATTTTCTTCCAATCAAATGGCACAAAGTCTCTTTGAAAGTGCTGAGTAATATACTATAAATCACTTTTTCTTGAGAACTTTATTTTCGCATAATTACGTGAGACAGTCTGCTTGCGAAAATTTTATTCTTGCATATATTTTCATTAATTTAGTATAGGAAATATACAATAGCCAAAATTCGTGAAAATTTTGTCTCGCTTATAAATACCAAATACCTATCTCGCGAAAATAATTAAATTAAGATGTCACGAAAATTTGGTGATCTACAGTAAATTATTTGTTATATCTTTAAAAACTGGTTCCTATATTAATCTCATATACTAAAAAAAGTCTAACATTATGATTTCCATTAAATGTTTTACTGAGCGGTCATGAAAAAAGATTTATGTTTGACAGCAGAGTGAAATATTCGACCTGTCAATGAGATATTGGACCGCTTACGTCACACTGGGGGCAGGATCAATTAAATCTTAGTTACATTCATTTGTGTTCCACAGCGATAGAATTGACCAAGTTTAACCACAGTGTGGGTAAAGGAAATTTACGTCATGGAAGCCAGCACAAGATACATGCATGTCAAAAAACAAAAAAAATTTTAAACAAAACATTTACTGACTGTGTACTCGGGCAAAAATGTGTTTTGTTGACCCCTAGAACCAAACTGTTTGCCTTCGGCCTAAACGCTTCAGGCAAACAGTTTGGTTCTTGAAACGCATGTTGTCCTCAAACCCAGTCAATAAATGTATAATATTTACCTCACTGTGTTTGTAAGAAGAGTTCAGTAGAGTATTGTCCTTCATATAGCGATTTCTGAACCACTGGCCCAGAGCATAATGTTGATCCATCCCAATCTGTATGGATATAATTATTAATCAAATTATGGATTACACTGGAGAATAAGGAACAATTTGAGTATGGATATATATACACAGAATTATAATTTTGCTGTTCTACACAAAATCATGCTTAATTATTAAGTCTATTGTTTACTCAGATTCATAAATTTTCCCAGGATTCTGAGGCATTTAAATACACTGTACCTACCATTTCTTCTTTCCTAATTTAAGATAATTAAAGTCTACATTTTTCAGATCAACAGGTTTATTTCCTAGTCAGATTGTCAGTTCAAAACTTTTTTTTCAGCAAAGCTATAAACCTGAATAAACAAACTTCCTCCAACTTCCTTGGCAGAGTTGAAAAAAAAAAAAACAAATATAAACAAACATCAAAAAATTTTCCTTGAAGCTGAAGAAGAGTTACATAATTTGATATCATTGCTTGACTGAATTTGATTTCAAATACATGTTTCAGTTTGGATTATTCTGTTTTTTCACTTCCTTAAGCAAATTAAGATTGCAGTTAATGAAAATTTTGTTATCTATATGTCAAACATATGTCAAAGAACAAGAATATCAACTAAATATGAACATGATGAATATGATTTCTGAGGAACAGTACTCAAAGGAATTAAACAGAAATTGTACTATTTAACAAATTTGGTATTGCATGGTGAGCTGAATATTTACCCAATATTTACCCAATCGCAACTTCTCGGGCCTTTCTGGCTAGTAAAAACACAACCTGAATGTGTAAACGTAGGCATCCACAGGGTTGTCCGTAAGACCTTGGGGCCGTAATCCCCGGTTATTCTGGTATTCCCCCTCAACCCCCCTGTTAGGAAGGAACCCAAAAACCCCTTCTACTTTTTTGATGCCCCCTGCTATTTCAATTCTTAGGGACAACCCTGCATTCATGACAAGCCCCCTTTTCATAAACTTTGAAATAAATATAGGGAGACCTCTTATCTGTAGAGTATGGAGCTAAACTTCATTGAATGTAAAGATATTACGGTACATAAAATATACCACAGAAGGGACACTCAACTCTGTCTATCCAATAATTCAATAAATACATGTAGTAATCCACTGGACCTTGTAGAAAATTTTAACATCCTGTGAGGTAAATACACTTGACATGTTTTTCCAAGCTTGCCAGAAAGGCCCGAGAAGATGAGAATGAATATTTACCATGAAAAAAAAAATTGAAACAAGACAGTCTCAGGTACAGTGGAACCTCCTTAATCTTAATCGTAGTATTCAAAACATCCTGATTAATGAAGTGTTTGAACATGTTGAATAGGTGAAACATACTTCTGTATACAATTGATATACATGATACATGTATATGTAAAAATAAACTCTGTTACCCACAAATTTCATCTAAAAGGTGAGGTGTCTGGGTTACAGACCTGTTTACCCATATTGTTGTCTCTCAGTATTTTTTATTAGATTTGTCAGTGAGATTTGGCATTTCCCCGTAAGATTTCACTTTTCATCGATTGTACATGTATATATTACTAAAAAACAACTACATTTTGGATTACAAAAAATAAACATGCTTTAATAACAAAGAAAAACATAATACCTTGCTTTCTTTCGAGTGGTTTCTGTCATTTTTAAACCACCACATTTTGGCAACCTGACATCACTTAAGTGTTTGAAATTTTTTTAAAAAAGCGTCAAACTGAGACATCATAACAAAAACTAGCTGTTAAAATCCAAATGAAAGAATTTCCCGGTTTCCATATTTTTATTATAGCAAAACGTGAGACGTATTTTGGACTCAAAATCCGTACAAAATACGGCGAAATCGTAAGAGTAAACAGGTCTGGGGTTATTGAAGTGCAGATTACGGACAATGCAGAGGCTTAATTGACTGTTAATTAATTTCTAGTGTATTGAAAAACCCACCTTTGAAAGCCAACCTAATCCATTTGGCCAGACATTTTCCTTGTGAGTGTCTGAAGGGAAAACTGCAACAGGTGACCTATCTCCATGGCGATATACCTTTATCAAGATAAAAATAAAATTAAAATAGAATTTAGCACATGACTAAGATCTAGTAAACATAAGTTGCCTACAGATTTCTCAAATTTAAGAAATGGATTCTTTTAATCACTGTTAATGATGCATTTTAACATGTTTAATTAAAGCTTGATAAATTAAGGTTTATCTGGGCATTATAATTTTTAGGTGCATGTGCATGTAACCACAGTGAAAAAAAAACAAACTCTAAACTGATGTCGTCCATGAACAAGAGGCCCATGGGTCACTATGTTCACCTGAGTAACTTTGGCCTTGCTGTTTTTCACCTGATCCCCCCCCCCCCCCCCCCCGTAGTACTTATTGTGGCCCTGCCCTACCCCCAGGGGTCATGATTTGAACAATTAGAATCTACACTACTCCAGAATGCTTCCACATAAGTTTCAGCTTTTCTGGCCTAGTGGTTCTTGAGAAGAAGATTTTTAAAGATTTTTACTACATATTCAAATGTAAAACTTGGATTCCCTTTTATGGCCCCACCCTACCCCCAGGGGTCATGATTTGAACAATTCAGAATCTACACTACCCCAGGATGCTTCCACATAAGTTTCATTTTTTCTGGCCCGGTGGTTCTTGAGAAGAAGATTTTTTCTACATATTTCAATGCAAAACTTGGGATTCCATTTTGTGGCCCTGTCCTACCCCGGGGGTCATGATTTGAACAATTTAGAATCTTCACTACCCAAGAATGCTTCCACAAGTTTCAGCTTTTCTGGCCCAGTGGTTCTTGAGAAGAAGATTTTTACTTCATATTTCAATTTAAAACTTGGATTCCCTATTGTGACCCTGCCCAGTCCCCAGGGGTCATAATTTGTTCAATTCAGAATCTACACTACCCCAGGATGCTTCCACATAAGTTTCAGTTTTTCTGGCCCAGTGGTTCTTGAGAAGAAGATTTTTACTACATATTTCAATGCAAAACTTGGATTCCCTTTTGTGGCCCTGCCCTACCCCCGGGGTCATGATTTGAACAATTTAGAATCTTCACTACCCGAGAATGCTTCCACATAAGTTTCAGCTTTTCTGGCCCAGTGGTTCTTGAGAAGAAGATTTTTTAATGACCCCACCCAATTTTTGTCTTTTCTTGATTACTGTAGATTCCTTATTTTTCGCGAGTACTTATTATCGCAAACTGGCTCTTTCACGTAAAATCGCGAGAACAATAATTCGCGAGTTGACGGTTGATCAAGTGATTTTACATTGATTTCAGCACCATAAAAATAAAGGCGAGTAATTTTATTTCGCGAGTGGTGCTTCTCACGTAATTACGCGATAATTAATTCCTCGCGCATATTTAGGAATCTACAGTATCTCCCTTTTGAAAGGGGCTTGGCCCTTCATTCTTATAATCTAAACTCCCCTTCACCTAGGGGTGCTTTGTACTAAGTTTGCTTTTCTGGCCCAGAGGTTCTTGAGAAGATGATTTTTAAAGATTTTTACTACATATTTCAATGTGGAACTTGGATTCCCTATTGTGGCCCCACCCTATCCCCAGGGGTCATGATTTGAATAATTTAAAATCTACCCTACCCCAGAATGCTTCCACATAAGTTTCAGCTTTTCTGGCCCAGTCGTTCTTGAGAAGAAGATTTTTTAATGACCCCACCCAATTTTTGTCTTTTCTTGATTATCTCCCTTTTGAAAGGGGCTTGGCCCTTCATTCTTATAATCTAAACTCCCCTTCACCTAGGGATGCTTTGTACTATGTTTGGTTAAAATTGGCCCAGCGATTCTTGAGAAGAAGTTGAAAATGTGAAAAGTTTACAGATGGATGGACAGACAGATGGACGGATGACAGACAATGGGTGATCAGAAAAGCTCACTTGAGCTTTCAGCTCAGGCAGGGCTCGAAATAATTGATGGCCTGCTGGTCTGGGGCCAGTGAACTTTCAATCTGGGCTAGTACATTGCAGAGGACATGTGCGCTTTGGGTCAGCATTTTTTTATGCATAATAAAATTTATTCACAGTCAGGCTAGTTAACTTGACAGGACTGTGTGTCCCAACTTCTGCTGTTTCTTGTTTTGTTAAGTTGTACATGTACTTCTAAGTATCACAATATTAAAAAAATATTACTATTATTATTATGGTTTTGGGCCAGTTTTTTTGGAATCTACTGGCCCAGTGGGACAGTGAAAGTACTAAGCTGACCAGTAAAAATTTAAGGCGATAGCCCTAGTGACCAGTAAGCAAAATTAATTATTTCTAGACCTGTCAGGTGAGCTAAAAAGGAAGAAAATCAGTTATAAATGTGGGAGTTTATGTCTTATCAGACAAAGGAAATGTAATATGTAGATTACCTACAGTCTCTCACAAAACAGTATTTAATATTATCATGTCCTCTTCTTTAAAAATTTCTTGAGTATATTCATTTTTTAGCTCTACCAGTCAGAGACCAGAAGAGCTTATGCGATGGTAAGGTGTCCATCTAGCTGTCTGTCAATCTGTCTGTAAACATTTTTTGAAAACACTACTCCTTCTACAGCAGTCAGGGGTGAGACTGAAATCTGTCATTTCTGAAAAATGATGGATAATCGTCATATTTACTAACTACGTATTTTCGTCATTTTTGTCAATATGACTTACTATCGTCATATTTTCTTTTTCAACATAATTCTTCTATCCTGGTTACATAAAACAGGGTTCGAAATTCACTATATACAACTCGCAAAACGCGAGTTAGAATTCCTAAATTGCGAGTTAAAAATTAGGTAACTTGCAAAAACTTGCGAGTTGATTTTTCTTGCATTGAAACTGTAGAAAAATTATATAATATGACAAAACACAATGCTTTTGATTTAAATCAGTAATTTAAATAAAAGCCACACTGTAGTTGTATTTTGTGTATTGTACAGTTACTTTTTCCTTAAGTTACATGTATTTAATTTATATAAATTTAACTTTATATGAAAATTGCGAGTAGTCTTATAAAATTGCGAGTTCACTTTCTTGGTACTCGCAATTATTTGCGAGTTGTAATTTTAGGGAGTTTCTAACCCTGTAAAAGCGTAATTTGAATTCACTGCTGAAAGAAGAGTTTTTACGCAAGTTTCATTTCATCCAGGTCACTAATTACTGCCGACCATGTGGGTTAGAACATCAACATGGAAGGTGAAAGTTATTATTTAGCGGTAAAATGTCGAATTTTGGTAGAACTAATTCACCATTTTTACATGGCTTTTAGCCCTATAAAAACATATAGAACACCATCTGGAAGAATACATACTTGTAGAGAAAAGTCTCGACAAAAAGTTAAAGCCATAAAAAAGTAGTGCGCCCAGTAAAACAAGCGAGATATTTCAGTGCGCCCAGACCCTCCATTTTGAAAAAAGACGGGAATATCGTCATTTTCGTCTTCTTTACTATTTAATGCAAATAAATTGACAAATAACTCTTCCACTCTTATTTTTGCTTGGGAAATTTGTACTGTCACCATAACCAGTATTGTAGTCAACTGTATTAGTGAAATGAAGTTCGTTTACGATGTTTTTTGTCCTTTTTTCGGTTGGTGGATCTAACATTTTTCAAAGAGAGGTAACTCGGTATTCTAGAAACACTCTAAATTTTTATGACTGTTTTTCGCCATTTTCTTAAAAATGACGAGTTTAAGTCATAATAAAAATTTTATTTTATGACTAAAAATCGTCATTTTAAAAATGACGGATTTCAGTCTCACCCCTGACTGTACAGTTTTGATCTGATTTCAATATTACTTGGCAAGTAGACTATACTAAGATATCTGTATAAACAGTGGGTGACGCCCATTAACCATATGTTGACTCCTGATGAATTGAGAAAATTTGTAAATTTATGTGAAAGTCGTCTATTCTTTTCTCAGGAAATCAAATTGATGTGGAAGTGAGTGAATTAGAGATTGCAATAGAGTCAACTACCAGAAACTTAATAGGTATTTCCACTTGGAATATTTTTACCTTTCAAAAGTAACATATTTTCTCAGTTATTCAAACAATATTTCAACACAACACACATTTTCTTTGAGATTTTCAAAAGCTTAATTTTTTTTATCACTTACAGTAATGACTCTGCTATCAAATACTAGACAAACATTGATGAAGTCAAATTTCACAATATCAGAATATGCATCAGCTTAAATTAAAAGGAAATGCCACTCAGGGGCTGACAAATCCAATTGCCTGATGCCCGGGGCTAGTGAATTTTAGGAGAAGGCAAGTGAAATTTTACCAACCACTTGCCCGTGGGCAAGTGACTTAAAAAAAAAATAAATATTTAAGTCATAGATTTAATATTGGGCACAAGGGGCCGCATGTTCTACTCAGTATATTAATTTTTCTTCCTATTTTTTGAAATATATATAAATACAGTATTAGTTTATGGTTGGGCAACCAAAAATTCAGGTAGGGCAAGTGAATTTTCACCATACACTTGCCCTTGGACAAGTGCATAAAAAATCGAATTGTCAGCCCCTGGACACTGATTTAGGACCCTCCATCGATAAATGAAGTATGAATACTAAAATTTACCAAATTGACCATGATCAGTTCCTTATCACCTTCACTCATAGTTCGATGAAAATGAAATAGAATTGTCAACAAAAATAGGAACATTCCACGAAAATCACGCAAAGCCATGACATTCAGCTTCCTTTCAAATCAAATACTGAAACAGAAAATAAGCGATCGAACGCATCACATGATTTTTGGCATCCCAAGCCCGATCTGGAATTCTAACTTTAAGCAAAGTACTGAAAGTACTGAGAAGAACAAAGCTAAATCCTATTCTCTGTTATATTGGAATCGGTATTGTTATATTGATTTTTTTTTGTTTGTTTTTTTTAATGTCATAAAAAGCCAGTAGTTGTTATATCCGGGCAGAAAGGATTGTCGAAAAGAACAGTAACTGTAATTTGTGTAACATTATTTCTCAAAACTTATATTCTTTTACATCACATCTTCTTTTTACCGTTCACGGTAGCTCAGTCGGTAGAGCGCTCGCTCCGTGATCGGGAGGTCGTGAGTTCGTATCTCGGCCGCGACAGACCCAAGTCGATAAAATGGGTAGCAACTGTTCCTTCGCCATGCGCTCGGCACTTTGAAGTGAAAGTTGCGGGTCTTTCGGATGAGACCTTAAAAACCGAGGCCCCGTGTCATGGCAGGCGTTGGCACGATAAAGATCCCTCACTGCTCAATGGCCCTGAGTGCCGAGTAAAGGTCAAAATTTAAAGCCCTTCACCGGTATATGGTGACGTCTCTATATGAGTGAAAAATTCTCGAATGGGACGTAAAACAACATACAATCAATCAATCAATCAATCAATCACATCTTCTTTTTAAGGAAAGGAAAAATGCTTATATATTGTATGCAACTTCAAATGCAATTTTATACATGTTAATGATTATTTTAAGCAATCAAATTCTTTCTTTCCCAAAAGTGAGTGTGTGTGTGTGGGGGGGGGGGGGTGTTCAGATTCAGAAAGATTCGAAGCTGGTGAGCTGCTGTTTACATTTGTTTTTTTGTGAAAGCAGGCGGCGACAGACACCTAGTTAATGCTAATAAGAATAATCTAGTCACAACACCTGTGTATTAACAACACGTACATGTAGAAAGGGTTGTAGAAAGGAACTGTGATTTCTGTACGAATTGCATTCTTCTACAAAATAAATAAATAAAAATAAAAAAAAATGCAGCTCCAAACTTGAAAAGATCATGTAAGATTATCATGGAAGCTAGTTGGCAGGTGATTTCATTTGTTTAATTGATACCAGTTAGCGACAACATGGTATTATACATTGCATCCAGGCTAGTAAGATTAATATATAGGCATAAAACCACAGCTTATGTAGTTATGGCATGTAAATGTGAGTACCATAGAAACCCAACTGTAATTTCTCTCCAGATAAATTCTGCCTAGAAAAGATTTATATGCATATAATATAATAACATCATTCACATGTATATATGCCCTTATGTCCCTAACCAAAATATGTTTCAGAATCGTTTTCCGATGTATCCTAGACACGACACTCGATCCATAGACCACGATGATTCAGCATTCTCCAGAACTAACGTACAGCGCCATAGCAAAAGTATTCACGATTTTTCAAAATGACGGCCGTAAACAAGGACGCTCAAAAATATTAAACTATTAAAAAAGTATGAAAAACTGACTTACTTTTCTCAATATTTTGTGAGTTGACCTTTGGATCTTATTACGGCCTGGATCCGACGGGGAATCGATAGGTATAACGTTAGGAAATTTTTTTACATACTCAGGGGCGATGTTTTGCCAAATGTCAATGCATGTGTCTGGCCCTGTTTTGAAGTGAATTTAATTTCAACCAAATATTTTCAATTCTATTATTGATGTCCGGGGACTGTGCCGGCCATGTGATGGAAGGAATGCTGTTGTTTGTCTTATATTGACACGTAATCCTGGATCTGTGCACGCGTATGTTATCTTGAAATAGGTAAGCTTTAAAATTGGGAAAATGCCTCGCTATAACTGGCCACAAATGTTCGTCGAGAATGTCAATATACTTTTGAGCAGTTATGTTGCCATCAACAAGGCACAAAGTCCCTACACCTTCGTAAGTAATACATCCCCACACCATAACTGAAATCCGACATCTATACGAGGAGGTCACATGCACTGAGGTAGATATGCCTCATTTGCTTTTCTCCAGACATAAATTCTGTGCATGATTATCTCCAATGACAACTTGACTTTCGTCAGAAAATATGATATCTTGCCAATATTGTTCCACTGTCAGTAGTCGTTTCACTAAACACCAAGATAATTGCTTTTTTCGATTAACTTCACGTATAACCATGCGTTTTCGTACAACTTTTCGTTGATATCCTTTTTTCCTAAGAAATCTCTGGACTGTACATTTATGAACCTTATAGTTAGGTTCTTTCAAATTTTAAAAATAATTACATGTATGAACAAGCTAAATTGATGTAAAGCATCAAATCGGCCGAACAAATATATCTAGCATTTGAAAGTAGGCCAATTACCGCAAGGAAGAAAGCAATTTAATTTTTTCAGTAATCAATTGTTAAATATTAATCAAACAAACAAATAAATTCGGACTAAGCATCAAATTATTTGATTCAAAGACAAATGCAACAATTTAAAATTAATGATTACGAATATCTGAATATCTGAATGCTGACCAAAAACGACACGTGTACAAACTTCACGTCTGTTCATGCTGTTACCCTGGATCTTTGTCACGTGATAATACCGATGATATGTACCACAATTAATGTGAAGTTCAGAAAAGAAAAAAAATAATTGTGTAATTTGCAACTATAGTGTATTCAAAACAAAATTCACTTCTTTATAAAACTTTTACAATTTATTATTTATTTTAGGCACTGTATGCATATCCGGAAACTTAACACGTTTTGTTTTTATATCTTAGGCACGACCATGTTGGGGAGTACATGTAGTTTATGTAACAACTTTTAACAAAATCATAAATTAATAAATACTGAAGAGAAATAAAAAACAAATTGAAACGTTACTGCAAACATTAAGACTAAGTATTAAGCATTTTTAATACTTTTTTTTATAGATAACCTTTATGTACATGTAGGTTAACAATAAGGAATTATTCCATCGAAGCAATGAAAAAATAACGTCTCATTTCTCCATGTGCACATTCTAACACAACCACAAATAGATCGGCCGCTCCTGCGGCCGATAATAAGAAATCAGAATGCATACATGTAATTAATAATTTACACGTATATGTGGTCCATTATTTATGAGAAACGACATTTAGGCTATAGATATAGTTAATTCTATGTTTAATTCACCCGCGCGTGTAAGGCTTTTATTAGAGAAATTACCATTTCGAGAAACCAAACATATGTCTTTTTTCAAAATGAAAGTATAAATACAATTCAGTCTTACTTTTACATCAACTAAGGAAAAGACAACCTTTGGAGTCCTTTTTAAAGTATATTTAGGATACTTATCGAGGGAATATTTTTAACTGACATATTTGAATAATGATAATTATAACAAAAAGCCAAAATGTAACTCAAATATTTTCAGTATTGTAATTCATGGAATTTTGTTTGAAATGAAAGTTTTCTTTCTTTAAATTTCCCTCGTAGGTTTGGGATTTTTGGATGACCTTAAACATGGCATTAATTTCAGACAGCCTTTCTTCAATATGTCATTGAGTATTCCTGCATTGAAGGACGATCGGATCTCTCTCTCTCTCTCTCTCTCTCTCTCTCTCTCTCTCTCTCTCTCTCAGTTTCCAGTTCTTCACAACAAGAAAACAAACATAAAAATGACTACATAAGACATTGTATTTCATAAAAGAAACATTGATTACTAAATTTTTGAGTTATCTTTCTTTGCGAGGAGTTCTTGCACCTCGAGAGATTTAAAATATCGATAGTCCAGTCGGAACACCACTCTACCTTTGACGGAAAAGGCCGAGTAATGTTCCGTCTTCCCAGTATTTGTGAGTTCAAGTACTACACTCTTACACTATATATTAAATACAAGTATATAATTAACTGTAACTTATGATTGTACATTTCCGGGGGTATCTTGACCTTCCTCTTAGTGGCCATTCCTTCAAATATTTTATATTTTCAAGGCGAGTCCTATTTCAGGATATCTCCATGGATACAAATATCACAGAACTCCCAATATTTAATCATCTAATTATAAGTAAATTCACAGACTCAAAATTCATCAATATTTCAGATTTTCTCCTTTTGTATTGGTCATTGAAATTGCAATATTAATAAGCAACAAGTTATTCACCCCTATAGATCTTCGTGTCTCACTGTCTCTCAAGACCCTGGGTATCAATCAAATCTCATCACCAGATTATAAAATGTAATGCACCCGTATAGATACGAGTGCATTACATTTTACATTTATGAATATACCTTTTTAAAGAAATGGGCAAAAAATCACAACGTTGTTCCTCTTTGTCTGTATGTCTGTCTCTTACCACCCACCCCCTACACTTTCTTGTCAATAGGTCCTTGACTGCAAGTGCGTTTTATATATTATAAGTTGGCTTTCTGCTTCATCTGTTTTAATTACAAATATAGTATTTGTAACAGAGGAAGTAAATTTTCCAATCAGAGATCCTGTTGCATTCAGTTGCAAGTATTCGAGCAATAAATTTTCATACAACTTCTAATCGCATGCAACTTTAATGTCGTATGCATGTTTATAAGCTTAACAATTTTCAGATAAGCTTGTACAAATATTACGGCGGTTTTCTCACTGTTTTAGTAAGCCTTACGTCCATTGACAATGTGATTCGATGCGTGCACGTAACATATCCGTGAGCACAGTCAAATGGTCAGTAACAATTCACAGCGGAAACAACCGAATGACGTAAGACATTGTTGACATTTGGCCACTTTCAACCAAATTTCGTCCTCCAGCGCACGCCACTTAACCGAGGTAGGTTAAAATTCTGTCTATTTTACTAATTGATTTTTTTTTTCTAGTAGCAGAAATATGCCTCAAGCTTTGTGTACACTAGGACTTCTAGAATCTACAATGTAACAATCTACTACCCTTTGTATCTTTGTCAGTGAACCATTTTTTTTCTTTTACGTGCAACCAATCTGAAATATGTTTAACTACATGTATATGTTCTTAAAATGGCTATATGCATCATTAGGAG